CCATCAGCGGCCTGCCCTGTGCTGAGAGATGATTTGGCGCTTGGCATGTTTTGGTTTGGGTGGTTTGTTTGGGGGGGGGGCTTTCATGGGTATGCCACTGGGGTATGGTTCCTGGGTGTTACCCACAAGGCCATTCTCTACTCACTTCCTCACCAGGAAGTGGAGGCTTGCATTCCTAAGCAGGCCCCTTCCTTCCGGTGCACGCGGCTTTAGTTCCTCCCTGGCCCCACCCGCTTCCACACCCCTGGGGAGGGCAGTGCCCACCTGGCGGGGCTGGGGTAGGCGTGACTGCAGTCATTCATTCACGCACAAATACATTTCTTCTTTCCTTTTCCAACCTGGTCTGCTCTGTGGCCTGGTGTTCTGAGCTGCTGGGGGGTCACTGTCTGTATATGTGGGGGACCCCTGCCCCACAGGGTAGCTTTACTTCCAACCATAAGCCTCAGGCTGCTGCATCTGGGCTTGTTTGTTTGTGCCAGTACTGAGACTTGAACTCAGGGCCTGGGCATGTGTCCCTGAGCTTTTTCACTCAAGACTGATGCTTTACCACTTGAGCTACAGCTCCACTTCTGGCTTTTTTTTTGGGGGGGGGGGGGAGGCATTGTTTATTGGAGGTAAGACTTTCCTGCCCTGGGTTGGGTTTGAACTATGATCCTCAGATCTCAGCCTCCTGAGTAGCTGGGATGACAGGGGTGAGCCACCGATGCATGGGTTGCCCTGGTTAATTCTGAGATGGATCTTGCTTTCTGCCCAGGCATATTTGGACTGTAATTCTCTCGTTCGCCCTCTACCGTGGCTGGGATGACAAGTGCGTATCTCCAGACCCAGCATTTTTCTATTGAGATGAGGTCTCGAAAACTTTTGGGGTTTTGTTGTTGTTGTTGGGTTTTGGTTTTGGTTTGGTTTTTGTCTTTTTGGCCAATGCTGGTCTGGAGCCATGATCCTTCTGATCTCTTCCTCCTGAGCAGCTGACAAGAAAACATGTGAGCCACCAGAGCCAAGCTTCCACTTTGTTTTTGAAGTAGAAAAAATTGCCCATAGCCGGTGGCTCACACCTGTCATTCTAGCTATTCAGGAGGCTGAGATCTGAGGATGGAGGTTCAAAGCCAGCCCAGAGCTGGAAAGGCCTTGAGACTTTCTCAGTGAGCCACGGAAACCTCTGGACAGCGTGTGGGAGGAAAGCTTTCTGAAGGCTGCAGTTCGGAGTGGTTTGCTTGGTATGAAGTAAGTGAGCCGAGAGGATAATCCTGAAATTAGCATGTAGACTGTGCAAGATAAATATTTATCAGAAGAACCCTCGTGGCTGGTCTGCCTATCGGTGCGGGTGGAGAAAAACGGAGGGCTGCTATAAAGTTATATCCAGCTGAGAATTGCAGACTCAAATTTCATACCAAGTAATGCAATGTCTCTTTATGTGGCTTGCTGGAAGGGAGGAAGTTTCTTTTTTCTGCTTTTTTTTTTTTTTGAGATACTGGCTAATAGTACAGACTGGTCTCAAGGTTGCCTCTTACTTCCCAAGGGCTGAGATTACAGGCATGCGCTACCATGCCCATCCATCCTGTATTTGAATTTTTATTTCTATGTCAGCATCAGTGCTTGAACTCGGTCAGGGCCGTGTGCTTTTGCTTAGTTTTTTCCCCTCAAGGTTGGTGCTATAATTTCATGAGCCATGGGCTGGGAAGGTGGCTCATTGGTAGAATGCTTGCCTTGCATGCCAGTGGCCCTGAGTTCGATTCCTCAGCACCACTTAAGCAAAAAGAAAAAAGCCGGAAGTGGCGCTGTGGCTCAAGTGGTAGAGCTCTAGCCTTGAGCTGAAGAGCTGAGGGACAGCCCCCAGGCCCAGAGTTCAGGCCCTACAACTGGACCTCCCAAAAAGAAAAATTTCATGAGCCACATGTGGCTCTGTGTGTGTGTGTTCGTTCGTGTGTATACACACACACACACACACACACACACACACATCCTGGAGCTTGAACTCTGGGCCTGCGTGCTATGAGCTTTGTTTTTAACTCAAGGCTAGTGCTCTACCACTTGAGCCACGTCTCTACTTCCAACTTTTTGCTGGTTCATTGGAGACAAGAGTCTCACAGACTTTCCTACCTGGGTTCGCTTTGAACCACGAACCTCAGAGCTCAGCCTCCTGAGTAGTTAGGATGGCAGGCGTGAGCCACTGGCACCCCCCCCCCCCCCCACTTCTGGCTCTTTTCTGGGTTAATCAAAGTTTAAGAATCTTTTGGATTTATCTGCCCAGGCTGACTTCAAACCACAGTCCTCAGTTCTCAGCCTCCAGAGTAGCTGGAATTACAGGCGTGTGCACCTGCACTCGGCTGCGTTGCTTTTGATTAATAACATCATTTTCATTTGCTAGCCAGTTCCCAGCACTCTGCCCCCCCCCTCACCCCACTAGGAGTGAGTGGCCATCCACCCTTTCCAGGAGATGGATGGCAGGTATAGATCACTCATGAGCAGCGGCTGCTTCCCCCACACAGTTAATAGACTAATAAAATGAGGGCTCTGCCTACACAGCAGAGTAAAAGAAAATGGATTTGCTTATCAATAATGCAGACTCTCGGCTCCTGCGCCGGCGAGTCTTACACTGCCTTGGCAGCTGTTTGCCTCTGACCTGATTCTGCTTCTGAGCCGGAGGCAGAGTGAAACTCAGGTATTCTCAGGAGGTGGAGCCTCTGGAGGGGGCGGGGTCTCTGCCCACCTCCTCCCTCTGGGGAGAGATCCAAACACTGTGGCCTGCCTAAGGAGTTTTGTTATCAACCAAGCCTTCTGCCCCAAGTGGCAAAAATGCAAACTGGCTGAAGCACAGAGGGGATTCACTGGTTCTTACCAGTCCAAGGACAGTGTGGATTTCAGGAATGGCTAGATCCAGGTGATGAAGTAAATTACTGATTCTCCCTCCCTCTCTCTTAGCCACACCTTTGTTTTCCTCACACTGATTTGATTTTTGTGTGTCTACAGATTTTCATCTCCTAGTGGCAAATATCTTTTGCCCCTCCAGCCTGTCAGCTACAGACAAGCAACTTACAGCAGAATGAGAACTGCATTTTTTCTTTCTTTCTTTCTTTGGCCAGTCCTGGGGCTTGAACTCAGGACCTGGGCACTGTCCCTGAGCTTCTTTTGCTCAAGGCTAGCACTCTACCGCTTAAGCCACAGCACCAACTTCCAGCTTTTTCTGTGTATGGAGTACTGAAGAATTGTTTTGTTTTGTTTTTTTGGGTCCGGTCGTGGGGCCTGAACTCTGGGCCTGGGCGCTGTCCCTCAGCTCTTCAGCTCAAGGCTAGCGCTCTACCACTTGAGCCACAGCGCCACTTCCGGCTTTTTTCCTTTTGCTTAAGTGGTGCTGAGGAATCGAACCCAGGGCCTCAGGCATGCCAGGCAAGCGCTCTACCACGGAGCCACTTTCCCAGCCCTAACACTGCATCTTCAGCCCATCATCTCTCACTGGCCCTCCTTAAACATCTTGCTCAGGTCTAGATCCAGGAAGTAAGGTGTGCAGACTTCAAATTCAGGCCAAATTACCTCACCTGGGAAGAAGAAAGGCTGCTTCTGAGGGAGGACAGGAAATGGATGTACATGTGGCCTTGGGCCTTGAATTCAGGGCCTGGGCCCTGTCCCTGAAGCTGTTTTTCACTCAAGGTTGGCACTCTGCCAGTTGAACCACTGCTCCACTCGGGCTTTTTACTGGCTCATTGGAAATAAGAGTCTCAAGGACTTTCCTGCCCAGGCTGGCTTGGAACCATTTATGGGACATACACTATGAGGCCATAATGGGAGTCGTGGGGGGGTGGTCCTGGGTCTGCAGGTGCCGGGAGCCGGTGGGTGGGGTGCCCTGGAGTCCCGCCCCTCCCCTTCCCTGTCACTGTGTGCCCAGCCAGCGTGGGGTGAGCTCCGGCTTCTTTTTCCCTTCCAGGTCTCTCCATGGCTCCCGGCTGCTCTTAGCTCAGTATTGATTTCCCGTGCATGACCCGGCCTTTTACAATACGATTAATTAACTTAAAAAGGAACTTGATTGTTTTGTGTGCATGTGCCAGTCCTGGGTCTTGAACTCAAGGCCTGGGCACTGCTGTCCCTGTTTTTTTGTTTTTTCCCCTTCAAAGCTGGCGCTCTACCACTTTGAGCCACAGCTCCACTTCTGGCTTTTTGCTGCTTCATTGGAGATGAGTCTCACAGACTTTCCTGCCCAGGCTGGCTTTGAATCACGTTCCTCCACATCTCAGCCTCCTGAGTAGCTGGGGTGACAGGTGTGAGCCACCAGTACTGGGCTCCTAATGTATTCTCTGCCATTTGTGGACATCTTCTTCTTCTATTTCTTTCTTTTCTTTTCTTGCCAGTCCTGGGGTTTGCACTCAGGGTTTGGGCACTGTCCCTGAGCTTCTTTTGCTCAAGGCTAGCACTCTACCCCTTGAGCCACAGCACCACTTCTGGCTTTTTCTGTGTTTGTGGTACTAAGGACTTGAACCCAGGGCTTCAGGCATGCTAGGCAACTACTCTACCCCTGAGCCACCTTCCCATCCCTCCCTTCTATTTCTTTCTGCGTTTTTGTTGTGTTTTGTTTTCCTCTGTAACTCCTGACCTACCAAGGTGATGTACAGCCACCACCAGCCCAGGGTGAAGTTTGTGCAACTTCTTTTTTTTTTTTCAATACAACTAGCTATGAGAGGATCTTGTCTCTTGACTTTAGCAAGAACCAGTCTAACCACTGCTACCAGCCCTGCCCCACTCCCAGGCCCCCTTGGGCTGCTGAGTGACCGCAGAAGATCCCACTGGAGCCCGTGTGCCTCTCTTCCCTCATTCCACCCGCCCCCCCAAGCCTCCTCCATACACATGTGAAGGTGCTGGTAGGCTTGCCCTGAGCCATGGGTCACCCAGGGGCCTGGCTTATAGCACGGGGAGGTTGATTGGACTTCAGGTAGGGTTTGATCAAGGTGCACAGGTGCAGCCCTACCTCAGCCTCCTGAGTAGCTGGGGTTACAGATATGAACCACGGGTGCCTGGCCAAACTTTATTATTTTTCGTCTGAACAGGGAGACAAGGTGAGGGACCGCGCTGGGGCTGGGGAGGCCGGAGGAGGAGGAGGAGGAGGAGGAGGACGAAGAAGAGAAGGTGACTGTCAGCTGCAGGCTTGGTTCCCAGCACCGCCATCTTCCTGCTCCGGGCGTCTGGTGCGGACCACACTGTAGGCTCTGGTGAGGAGAGAGGAGGGGTTGTGGGAAGCTGGAGGGGCTGCATCTTGGGGTGCCCTCCAGTTGTTGCCCCCATTTCCAGTGCACTCACCTGTGCCGGCAAAGCCGGGACATCTGCCTGCACTTGCCACCTGTGGGGGAAGGAAACAGTGTGTGTGTGTGTGTGTGTGTGTGTGTGTGTGTAAGCTCATGTGGGTGGGGCTTGAACCCAGGGCCTGGGTGCTGTCCTGAGCTTTTCACTCAAGGATGGTACTCTACCACACCTCCACTTGCGGCTTTTTGCTAGTTAACAGGAGATAAGAGTCTCATAGCCTTTCCTTCTGTGGGCTGGCCTCAAGCATCGATCCTCATTTCTCAGCCTCCTTAGTAGCCAGGTGTGAGCCACAGACACCTGGTCACTGAGGGGTGTGCTCTACACCGGGTGATGCCACAAGCGTGTGACTGAGAACCCCACGCACGCACACGCACACACATACACACGCACACACACACACACACGCGCGCGCGCGCGCAGCAAAACAGCCGTGCTAGGCCCCGAATCTGGAGCTCCTCCACGCTGCTGCACACACGTGCTGTGGAGGACTCAGGCTGTTTTGTGAATCACTGCTTCACTCAGCCCAGGCAAGGAAAACAGGGTGAAACAGGGAAGAAGAAAAGAAAAATCAGTGTCCTGCCGGACGCCCGTGTCTCAGGCCGGTCATCCTAGCTACTCAGGAGGCTGAGATCCGGAGGATCACGGTTCAAAGCCAGCTGGAGCAGAGAAGTCCGTGAGACGCTTCTCTCCAATGAACCAGCAACAAAGCCAGAAGTGGCTCTTGTGGCTCAAGTGGTAGAACGCCAGCCCTGAGTGAAAAAGCTATGGGACAGCGCTCCGGTCCTGAGTTCAAGCCCTGGGCTCAACATTTTGATCCCAGCCCAGGCCTCCTCTTCCCAGTACCAGATCCACCCAGCCCTCCATTCTTACTGGTGAGGATAATGATGCCTGTGACAAACAACACAGCTGCCACCAACAGACCCCGCTTCCGGAGCGTGCCTTCATCTGCAGACAGACAGACAGACAGACAGACAGACACAGACAGGGGGGGGGGTCAGGTCCGGATGCCTCCACCTTTCCTCCCCGGATAACTTCCTGGGGGGCAACTCACTCACCATAAAAAAAGGGGTCGAACTCGTCTGCACCTGTGGGGCAGAGGACACGGGTCAGAGGTCAGGAGAGGTTTGTTGAGTGAATAAGTGAGCGGCAGACAGGTTCCTCACCCCTCTACCCCATCCCCTCTGCCCAGCTATAGAACACATGTGCATGCACGTGTGTGCACACGTGTGATGTGTGTAGCATCTCCATGGCAGGAACATTCCAGAACATGACCAAGAAAAGCCCTGTGAAGTCTATGAAGAGAGTTTTACTGACCCCGTGGCTTAGGAGTCCGGGGGTGCGTCCAGAATTGTTTGCCTGCTGACTGATCCTCTGAGAATGTTGGGGTGCCTGTAGAAGAATGAGCAGACAGAATGGGGAAGGCAGGAGGGGCCCCCTCAACCTCAGAGCTGGAGAGAAGGTCCTTCCTGACATCTGTGCGTTTAAGGGTAACAGGCAGCATGGCCTCCATCTTCAGCCAAGCCTCCTCTCGCCACCCCACTCAGAACCCAGAGCTAAAGGGGAGTTGAACCCCTGACTCGTCACACGGGATGATGGGGGAGGGGAGGACGCTGGCCAGATTCTCTTCATTCAAAATAAAGCCTTGCGGGGGGGGGGGGGGGGGGGGGGGGAGGGGACGGGGGGGGGGGGTGGCCCTCAGGGCTCAGGCCTGTCATCCCAGCTATTCAGGAGGCTGAGATCTGGAGGATTGCAGATTGAAGGCAGCCTAGACAGGAAAGTCTGTGAGACTCTTATTGCCAATGAACCAGCAAAAAAAAAAAGCTGGACTAGAGGCATGGCTCAAGTGGTAGAGCACCCGCCTCAAGTAGGGAGAAACGAAAGCTAAAAGAGGATGCCTAGGCCCTGAGTTCAAGACCCAATTCTGGTGCGCACAAGTGGGCACGTGTGTGTGTGTGTGTGTGTATGTACACATACACACAACTTTTGTTTGTTTTGTCAGTCATGGGGTTTGGTCCCAGGGCCTGGGCACTGTCCCTGAGTTCGTCTGCTCAAGGCAGGTGCTCTACCACTTGAGCCACAGCTCCACTTCTGGCTTTTTGTCATGATTCATTGGAGATAAGAGTCTCACAGACTTTCCTGTCCAGGCTGGTTTTGAACTGTGACCTTCTCGATCTAGATCTAGTCTTCTGAGTAGCTGGGATGACAGGCCTGAGCCACTTAACCTCCCACCAGAACCCACACAGTTCCTGGAAAAATGGGTCAGCGATGGCTGCAAACAGGTGCTGAGAGAAACTCGCCCTGGAGGGAAGGCGGAGCGGGGCAGGACTTCCACAGAGACTGGAGGCTCCAGCTCTCTGCCCCGAGGCCCACCTCTCTCACTGGTCCCGTGCTTGTCTGACTCCGTCACTGTCCCCGCGGGTGCCTGCGTCGTCGCGGTGACAATCCCTGTCCCAGCCTGCGGCTCCATTCCCTCAGTCTCCAGCTTTGTGTGGCTTCTGGTTGCTTCTACTTGGGCGAGAGAGCAACAAGAGAAGAGATAGTAGTGAGAAAGGCCGGGAGCCAGTGCTCACGCCTGTAATCCCAGCGACTCAGAAGGCGGAGATCTGAGGATCGCGGTTCAAAGCCAGCCCAGGTAAGAAGATCTGGGAGACTCTTATCGCCAATGAACCAGCAGCAAAGCAGAAGCGGTGCTGCGGCTCAAGTGGTAGAGAGCTCGCTTTGAGCAATAAAGCTAAGGGAGAGGGGAGAGGATAAGGCCCTGAGTTCAAGTTCTAGTACGGATACAGAAGGAAGAGGAGGAGGAGGAGGAGGAAGAGGAGAAGGAGGAAGAGGAGGAGGAGGAGGAGGAGGAGGAAGGAGAGGAGGGGGAGAGGAGGAGGAAGGGAATGGAGGGGTCTTGGCTGCGCTATTACCCCGGGGTCCAGGGCTGGTGGGGACAGCACACCGAATGTCATGGCCACCACCCCAGCCCTGCCCGGCTCTCACCTTCAGCCGGCGCCATCAGCATGGTTGTAAAGTCTCGGGCAGTTGTATCTGGAGTGGAGGGAAAATTTGAGGTGTCAAAAGCTGGGCACCATTGGTTCACCCCTAGAATCCCAGCTATTCAGGAGGCTGAGATCTAAAGGATGGCGGTTCAAAGCCAGCCCAGGCAGGCAAGTCCCTGAGACTCTTTATCTCCAATGCACTACTGAAAAATGCCAGAAGTGGCGCTGTGGCTCAAGTGGTAGAGCGCTCACCTTGAGCTGAAGAGCTCAGGGACAGCGCCCAGGCCTTGAGTTCAAGACCCAGGACTTGAACACACACACACACACACAGAGGAAAAGGAGGAGAAGAGGAGGGAGGGAAGAAGTGGAGAAGACCCACAGATGAAGAGTTTGGGGTGGGGTTCCCAAAGCAGCTCAATTCTGATGATGTGAGATCACCGGCCTGGTCAGCGCTCACACACAAGGAGACCCCCACCAACCTATGACAGGTCCCCCTCCCTGGAGTGCTGGTTACCACCTGTTTTACCAGCCCTTGAGAAATCCTGCTCAAAGAAAGGCATCTGGAGCCGGGCGCCGGTGGCTCCTGCCTGTCATCCTAGCTACTCAGGAGGCTGAGATCGCAGTTCAAAGCCAGCCTGGGCAGGAAACTCCCTGAGACTCTTATCTCTAATGCACCACCAGAAAACCAGAAGTGGCGCTGTGGCTCAAGTGGTAGAGCGCTCGCCTTGAGCTGAAGCGCTGAGGGCCAGCACCCAGGCCCATGGCTGACAAAAGAGAAAAAAAAAAAGAAAGAAATGCATTTGGCTACACATTCCAAAAGCCTCACATTGTACATGCCAGCACCCCACTTGTTCTGACCAGACCCCTCCCTCAGAATCACCCCCTAAGAACAGCCCTGCCCTGCTCCTGAGGAAGTAAATACCAGCAGACAGAGCCCAGAGAGCTTTGAACAGCCAACCTCAGATCCCAGTGTGCAGCTGCTGTTATTGGTCACATAGCCAGGTAGGATCTTAACTACAGATCAGCCTCTTTCCCCACCTGTAACATGGTTCCCAGCAGGCGTGTTTTCAGTAGTCAGGTCTACCGCAGAACGGGATTCAGGATTGTGCAATGTCTGTCCTGCAGAAACAAAGATGGGAAGTTAAGAGTGAGGCCTCTTGCTCCCTTCTTGAATCCTGACCCCCCCACCCCACTCCCATACTTGGACTTTAAACTCAATAGGCTGGGAAGGTGCTCAGTGGTAGAGTGCTTGCCTTGCATGCATGAAGCCCTGGGTTCAATTCCTCAGCACCTCATAAGCAGAAACAGCCGGAAGTGGCGCTGTGGCTCAAGTGGTAGAGCACTAGCCTTGAGCTTAAGAGCTGAGAGACAGTGCCCAGGCCCGAGTTCAGGCCTCACGACCAACAACAACAACAACAAAACCCTCAGGGCCTTGTGATCTCACTTGGTGGGTGTTTCTGGTTTGTTTGTTGTTGTTTTGCCAGTCCTGGGACTTGAACTCAGGGCCTGGGCACTGTCCCTCAGCTTCTTTTGCTCAAGGCTAGCACTCTACCACTTGAGCCACAGTTCTGTTTCTGGCTTTTTCTGTTTGTGTGGTACTGAGGAGTCAAACCCAGGACTTCATGCATGCTAGGCAAGCACTCTATCACTAGACCACATTCCCAGCCCCTATTATTGTTTTGTGTGTGTGTGTGTGTGTGTGTGTGTGTGTGTGTGTGTGTGTGTGTGTGTTTGCTCAAGGATGGTGCTCTACCACTTGAGCCACAACTCCACTTCTGGCTTTGTGTGTGTCTGTGTGTCTGTGTGGTTGATTGGACATAAGAGTCTCACAGACTTTCCTGCCCTGGCTGGCTTCAAACTGCAATCCTCAGATCTCAGCCTCCTGAGTAGTAGCAATTACAGGCCTGAGCCACTGGCGCCAGACCACAGATCAATATCTAGCATAGTCTACAAGAAACTGACTTCATGTCTTGCCTGTCTTTGCCCACAATCTGATTTTTTTTTCCACGTTCACGCTTGGGAATTATGGATGGATGGGGCGCCTGCCGTGAGGCTGTGGGCTCTTAGGGGGACATAGAGCCACCACAATCCCAGCTCCCCACTCACTAACTTCTGGCCCAGGGCTCTTCCCCCTGGCTGAGCCTCAGTTTCCTTATCCATCAGGTGGAAACAGAACACACTTGAGAACCCACAGCTAAAAATCCCCCCCTCCCACCACCTGCCACCTTAGAAAAGTGTTCCCCAGATAGACTCAACAGGTTTAACTCTTCAGCCTGGACCCAGCTGAGCCCCTTTTGTCTAACGAACCACTTATTATTTTGCTGGGATTTTTGAGTCTCCTGGCTGCCAAGTAGAAAATGGACACCCCACCTCAGAGCCAAATCAAACTTCATCCCGGTTGGAGGTGAAGGGGAAGGCGTTCAAGCCGGACAGATTCTGGCTAGACTCTTTGGAAGCGCCACCCGTGGTTCTGTGGTGTTCAAACAGGGTGTCACCCCGAAACTGCCTAGCAGTCCCCACTTCCTGCGGGGGCCCTCGGTAGGGGAGGGGGAGGAGGAAGGCAGGCAGAGCATCCGTTCAGGCTCTTACCTCTGCTGGGCGCAACCAGGCCAACCAGGATGAAGACACACAGGCAACCGAAGGGCCACATCTGTGGGGTGAGGGGGTCAGGCCAGCGGGGTGTGGCCTGGGGCAGCTCTGGGATGGGGGCGATCTTGCAGCTCACCCCTTCTTGAAGCAGACACCCCTAGTTTCAAAGACCTCCCACCCCGAGCCAGGGCTGATAGCTGACTTTGGGGCCAGGGCAAGAGGGCGAGAGGGTCTCAGAGAATGGGAATTACAAGCCAACACCCCATTTCCCCTTTTCCTGCTGGTCTTTCCCCCCACTCTCCCCCCAAAAAAAAGAACACCAAAAACCACTAAGCAACAGCAGCCAGCCCACCTGGTCCCCCCAAAGCATCCAGCACCCTGGAAGCAGAAAGGTCCTGGTTATCCCCCCCCCTTCCCCAGCACCCCCAGGTGGGACCCCAGGAACGGGGAGGGGAGGCGGAGAGGGCGGGGCGGCGGGGGGGAGACTGAGGCCTGGCTTACCACGGAGCTCAGCCTGGGTCCCGGGCCGCAGCCTGGGGGTCGGAGGACGCGCGAGCGGGCGAGGGTGTGGCCTGGTGGGCGTGGCCAGTGGGCGGGACTCGCGGTGGGCGGGTCCCGGATAGGCGGACTACAGCGCGCTGGGGGCGTGGCCTGGGCGTGGGCGGGGCCCCCGCGGGCGGGGCCGGCGCCCAGTCATCAGTCATTTCCTCCCGGGTTTCCTGGCCTGGAGGTGGGGCGGGTGAGAGCGGGAGGGCCGGGTAAGGGTTGGGGGGACCCCCGGGGAAGGCTGGAGGGAGACGGGGCGGCTGGGGGTGGGGAGGATGGAGAGGGAGGACCTGGAGGGGGCAGGATGCAGGGAGGGCTGGAGAGGGTGGGATGGAGATCTGGAGGGGGCAGGATGGAGTGGGGGGGCCGGGGAGGGGGGGAGGTGGGCTGGAGATGGGGGGGCTGGGGGAACCTCCCGGGGCGGGCGAGGCCCTGCACCCCCAGTTCCGTCCTCCACCCCGCGTGCCCACAGATGAGAACACACAGCCCGGGGAAACCGAGTGCACGTTTATTAAGCTCAGGACGCGGACGCCGGGGCGACGTGGGGGCTGCAGGCCTCGGGCGGAGACGGTGAGGTGCAGGGCGCTGCGGGCGTCCTGGGGGGCTGGGGCCGGACGCCGGGGGGGTTCCAGGAGCTGGAGGCCTGAGTCCCTGGGTGTGGGGTGCAGACGGGCTCTTTGGGGTATTGCCAAGGCCTGGGGAGGGACAGCGGGGTGCAAGGGCTCCAGCCTTGGGATGGGTGGGGCGGCTCATTCCGGGGAGCACTCCCCAGCACCAGGCCGGGGTCCCCACCGCCTTCACCGGGTCGTCCGGGTCCCAAATCCAGGCAGGGACAGCAGAGGAAGCTGTCAGGCCGGTCTTAAACGCCGCCGCCACCTCCAGGGGCTGAGGAAAGCAGGGACAGTCAGAAAGATGGGACGAAGCCAGGCGCTGGGGACTCACGCCTGTCATCCCGGCTACTCAGGAGGCTCGGATCCAGAGATGAGGATTCAAAGCCACCCCCCCCACTCCCTTGCCAAAAAAGTCTGTGAAACTCTTTTCTCCAATGAAGCACCAAAAAAGCCATAAGTGGAGTTGTGGCTCAAGTGGTAGAGCGCCAGCCTTGGTGCAAAAAAAAAGAAAGAAAAAAAAAGCCAAGGGACAGCGCCCAGGCCCTGAGTTCAAGCCCAGGTACAGACACAAAATAATTATGTAAGAGGCAGACAGAACCCCAGCTCTGACCCCCCCTCCTTCCCCCAAGTCCCTGGGAAGGGTGCAAAGCCACTAAAATCAGGTCAGGATATTTTTATATAATTAGCATGAACACCCTAAAGTGCTGCCTTCTCCAACCCCATCTCCCCACCCCGCCCCCCACCCCCCCACCCCCCCCACCCAGCCCCCCACCCCCCCCATCTCCCCACCCCGCCCCCCAACCCCCATCTCCCCACCCCGCCCCCCACCCCTCCTGTCTTTCTCTGTAACTCCCATCCACTTGTACCCCTCTGCCTGCCCTGCCTCTCCCCCGCCCCCCATGTCTCTACTCGGCTCTGTCTCTCTTCCTACAAGAGATTTCTCCTACCCACCTCCTCCTCCACCCTCAGACCTTCTGGACCATCCAGCTTTTTCCTCCCAGCCCTACACATTCTGCTTTTAGGGTGGTAAGATTTGAACTCAGGGCTTTGCATTCACCAGGCAAGTGCTCTGCCCCCTTGAGCTACACTCTTTGGGCTCTGGTCATTTTTGAGATGGTGTCTTTTTTTTTTTTGTCCAGGCTGTAATCCTCCTATGTATGCTTTGCATGGCTAGGATGACAGGTGTGTAGCACTATACTCAGACTTGTCTGTTTAGATGGCGGGTGGGGGAGGGAGTTGGAAACCTTGTTTTGTTCAAGCTGGTCTTGAACCATGATCCCCACCCTCCCACACCACAGATTGCTTTTCTTTCTTTCTTTCTTTCTTTTTTTCCTTTCTTTTATCCGAAACTGGGACTCCACTTAGTATCTGACACGTTCACTCACTGACTGGCGCTCTACCATCTGAGCCACACCACCAAGCTCCATCCACAGATTCCTTTTAAAGATGAACTTTAAAATCTATATCCTATGTAAATGTTTTTGGTTGTTTCAATATGCAAAACCTTTCCTCCTTGCTTATTGCTCTTCCTTGCCCTTCCCTCCGCCCCACCCCTCTTTTATCGTGCCAGTCCTAGGGCTTGAACTCAGAACCTGAGCGTACTTTCCCTTCGTTTTTTCACTGAAAGCTAGTGCTCTAGCACTTGAGCCACAGCTCCACTTCCAGTTTTTTTTTTTTTCTTGTTGTTGTTTTTTCTGGTTCATTGGAGTTAAATAAGAGTCATAGATTTTCCTCCCCAGGCTGTCTTTGAACCTCAATTCTCAGATCTCAATCTAGGAGGGAGATCTCAACCTAGCTAGAACTACAGGTGTGAGCTACCACGCAGTGCCTGGTGTTTGAGGAGGAGTGGGAGGGATCTTTGTGACTCTTTAGGACATGCCCCACTGCCCGCTGTGGGTTGGTGTGTCCCCTTGGTGAGTGGGGGTGGTGCTCAGCCTCGTGTGGAATCATTCCACACCTGCCAGGGCCTCCACAGACACTCTGGTCTTCTAAGACACCCCTCCCCCATTTCTGCAGCCCTCCTAGAACCCCACGCTCTGGCCCTCACCTGAGGAAGGAAGTTCTGACTTGCAGGACTTACACGTTGGGCTAAGAAGGCAAAGCAGAGACAGAGAGAGACAGAGACAGAGAATATATAAGAGGTTATACTTTCTTTCTGGGCCCTGGGTTAAGGGAGCACCCCAGGATACACGCCCCCCTCCCACTTTTTCCTTCCCCCACTTCCTCCAGACCTCTCAGACCTGGAGTCCGCCTTCCTGCACTTTACTTTCTTGCCTGTTGAGAGAGAGAGACAGAGCATGAATGAATGAACGAATGAATGGGTGGATGGATGTTCCTGAGTGCAGTGGGAAGTGGGGAAAGGCACTCACTGATGATGATGATGATGCCCAGCAAGAACATCACGGTGGCCAGGGTCATGCCCACGGTCTGCACGGTGGCGTAGTCTAGGAAGGGAGACGACAGGACGGACAGGCCGTGACCGCGGGGGCGGCTCACCCCGCCCAGCTGCACAGCGGCCTGCTGGAGTCCAGGAGGTCCAGGATCTGGGGGCGGGCTCCCCCGGGGCCTCTCTCTCCCCCCTCTGCTCCCCTCCCCTGCCTCGGTTTTCTTTCTGGATTCTACTTCTCTGTAGAACCAACGCCCTCCACGCTGCCTCTCCCTTGGTCCTCATTCAGAGGGCCCAGGCCATTGTCCATCACGGGCAGCTTCTGCACCATGATCGGAGCCACACCCGGCCTCGCCTCAGAGCCGCCTCTGGTGTCTGCAAATGCCAGGTGAACACCAAGGCCCTGGAGGCCCTGAATGATCTAGCCTGCCTGCCTCCTTCCCTCCCTCCCTCCCTTCCTTCTCTCCCTTCCTTCCTTCCATCCTTCCTTCCTTCCTAGACCTCATCTCATCCACCTTCCCCAGCAGTCCCCTGCCCCACAGCCACCCTGCAGTTCCTGGATTCTTTCCAGATGTCAACCTGTCTCAGGGCCTTTGCTGCTCCCACTAGCTGAAAGTTCTTCCTCTAAATCCCCACACAGTTCCTCCCTCACCAGTCTTCCCTGGCTGTCCTGTTTAGAATGTTTGCCCCAAAGAATGATGATTATTCTGTGTGGTGGTGGTGGTGGTGGTTTTGTGCCAATACTGAGGCTTGAACTCTAGGATCTGGCATTGTTTCTTAGTCTTTTTCACCCAAGACTAGCGCTCTACCACTTGAGCCACAGCTCCCACTCCAGGCTTTTTTTTGGTGGTTCAGTGGAGCTAAGAGTCTCTCAGACTTTTCTGCTTAATCTGGCTTTGAACCAAGACCCTCGGATCTCAGCTTCCTGAGTAGTTAGGATTACAGGCAGTGGTGCCGGGCTTAGCAGTATAAGAAACATTTCTCACCGGGTGCCAGTGGCTCACGCCTGTAAGTCCTAGCTACTCAGGAGGCTGAGATCTGAGGATCATAGTTCAAAGCCAGCCTGGGCAGGAAAGTCCGAGAGACTCTTATCTCCAATAAACCACTAAAAAACTGGAAGTGGCCTTGTGGTTCAAGCGATAGAGCGCTCACCTTGAGCTGAAGAGCCCAGGGACAGCGTCCAGGCCCAGAGTTCAAGTCCCATGACCGACAAAAAGAAAAGAAACACTTCTCATTTCATTTGCTGGAGTGTCTGAGTCTGTTCATTGGGTCTCAAGGAAAGCAGGATTCCGGGCTAGGTCGCTGGGGTGCCTGCCACAGGGCTTGGCATAGATCCGGGGTTCAGTAATCACCAGCAGTGGGCCAGGCTTCTGCCCACTACTAGCTGAATTTCGTATTGTGACAAAGTGCTCATGTTAAATAAATCTGAGTCATGGCTGGCTGGCTGGCTGAGTGTGGAGGGGAGAGCCAGGCAGAGCCTCTCCTAGCCACTAAGCAGTCGATATTTGATCTGAAGCCAGAGGAAGAGAATGGAGTCTGCACCTACTACGGAGAACGGGGGAGGGGGGAGGAGGGAGGAGATGATGGACAGCAAGTGCAAAGGCCCTGAGGTGGTAAGGAAATTGATCTACTGGAGAAACAGCATGACTGAGCAAAGATGGTGGGGTAGAAAGGTGTTTTTCACAGGAAACTGGGGTCGGATAGCAGTGGTAACTTCTTTGAGCTTTGAGTGCCATGAGGTTGATAATAAGGTATTGTGCTGGAAAATTCCCCAAAGTGGGAATTAGTATGGATCTTGAATACAGAAGGGACCAGAGAGGCAAAGTTACTTGTCCAAGGCCACACAGCTACATAGTGAGTAAGCAAGGCTCAAATCCAGCAGCCTGGTGGTGTTGGAGTTATATTAAGGCTCAGTGGGGCATCTGGTCCGTCCCCCCACGCCCTCCCTGGTCACTCTACCCTCCATGACCTCATCTGATACAAGCTATGCCACTCGGTATGGCCCACTTCAGCCATGACCCCTCACCCAGCCACATCTTCATCTATCCAAAACACCAACACTCACCATAGTAAAATGGGTCAGGCTCCTCCGGACCTTCGGGAGGGAAGAAAGAGACACAGAGAGAAGGAAAAAATATTTCAGCAGTGAGTTTGATCGCATTTTTGATCACTGCTGTATGCCATGGCTTCCGCCTGTCATCCTAGCAACTCCGGAGGCTGAGATTTGAGGAGCAAGGCCAGAAGCCAGTCCAGAGAGGAAAGTCCGGGAGATTCGTATCTCCAATGAGTCACCAAAAAGCTGGAAGTGGTGCCGTGGCTTAAGTGGTAGAGCACTAGCCTTGTGTGTGTGTGTGGGGGGGGGGGGGAGCTGTTTGACAATCCTAGGGCTTGAACTCAGGGCCTGGGCTTGTCCCTTAACATTTTGCACTCTCCCATTTGAGCCACAGCTCCATTCCCAGCTTTTTGAGGCTTTATTGGAGATCAGAGTCTGATGAACTTCCCTATCCAGGCTGGCTTTGAACCATGATCCTCAGATCTCAGCCTCCTGAGTAACTAGGATGACAGGCGGGAGCCACAAACACGGGACACACTCCCCTCCCCAATCCCCCCCCCCCCTGCACTTTTCTGGCCTTCTGCAAACCCTCCTCCATTTTGCTCAAGACCCCTAGAGTGAGCTCCTGTCCCTGATTCCCCTTGGGTTCCTGGCTGAGAATTGGGGTTTGGTGCCCAAGATTCTCTATGCTGCCACAAATCTGGATCCTTTGGGGTGTGGCTGGGCCAAGGAGGAGTCAAGGAGGCCAGGGAAGGAATGTGCCCCACTCTTGGCCACTTGCCAGGAAGCCATCAGCAAGGAGGAGGTTGCCATGGCAACTGGGGCATCTTGAAAGGTGATGCCCTCCCCCCCCCCCCACCCCCAGCACCCTGGCCCAGGTCCTGTTTATAAGGTTTGTGAGTTGAGTCCAGTCTTGTCTCTCTCTCCCTCTCCCTCTCTCCCTGCAGAACTGGCTGGCTTCTAGCCAAACCCAGGGTCTTTCTTAGAGACCTAATTTCAAGTGTGTTCAAGCACCCCCCTTCTTCTCGCTACACCCCTAAATTCTCCCTCTTGGTTTTCTTTGCAGGGGAAATTAAAAAAAAAAAAAAAAGCGCCTCTCTTCCATCTCCTCAATAATTCATGAATCCATTCCTTCAGGACACAACAGGCTTCTTTCCCCTCCCCGACCAGCCATTTCCCACCCTCCACCCCCCCCCCAGGGGTTTCCCGAGGCCTGAGGTCCCCCCTCTTCCTTGCCTGGTGTGACTGGGGCAATCGGGGTGGGTGTCCAGGCGTCTGCACCCCCACCTCCGCCCGTCTGCCCTCATCCATCCACCACCTCTGCGAAAAAGCAAGAGCCCTGGACCCTCGCCAGCCCCGGCGCCCTCCCCGCCTCCCCTCTCCCTAGGGTGGCTTCCAACCTCCGCAGCCCCCTCCACCCCCACCCCTGCTTCCCGCCCTGCAGAGAGCGTGCGGAGGCTGCCTGCCTGCCGCAGCCGCTGCCTGCTGGGGAAGGGGGGAAAGGAAGGGAAGGGAAGGAGAGATCGGGGTGCAAGGTGGGGTTCCCCCTTCACTGCCAGGAGGCTGCCGGTCAGTGCAGGCAGCAGCAGCAGCAGCGAGCGGGGAGAGGACCTGGCCTTGGCCCTTCCCCCATGGAAGCCGGCGGGCTGGGGCTGGGGCAGCGGGGAGAGGGGGTGGAAGTGGGTTAATGGGTGTGAAATGGGAATGGTTGTGTGGCGGGATGGGGGGCCACGGGGCGGGGGGAGGGAGGGACTCTGATCCTGCTAGAACTGGAATCTGGAACTGGACCTGATAGGGAAGGGAAAGGGGAGGGGACTGCCAGCACCCCACTCCCACCTGGGAGGCTTTGCTGCAGTGGTTCTCACCCCACCCCAGGCTGCCACCACACCCCACATCCATCTCTGCCTCGCTTTTCTCCCAACCTGCCTGGCAGGGATGATAGGAAACACCAACCACAAGAGACCAGGATGCTTAGGATGCTGGGAACATTAAAAAAAAATGTGGGGACCCTTCCCCTGGCCCACCTTAGGGTCCTGAAATCTTCTAGAACCTCTCTGACTGCAGAACCCCACCGGCTCCCATCCCGCATCCTTCCTATCTGCTAGCACCACGGTGCTGGACCAACCACCCCCGTTGCCATAGCAACCTGTCCGAGCATCCCTTCTCCCGGGGACAGCCCTCTCTGCCCATAGGTCCCGCACCTGGATCAAAGTGCGGGGGGGGGGGGTAGGGGACACCCCCCCAAAGGGGGGAGTGGAGGGGGGTCGAGGGATGCAGCAGAGAGGTCCCCACCCATGGCAGGAATAGCCACATCCCCTCCTGACTCCTTCCCGCCCCGTTCCCTAGCCCCCTCTTCCCCACGCTGCGCCCCCACGCGCACTCGCGCACCCACTCTCTAAGATGATGACACTCACTCACCGATGGTGGGGACCTCAGTTGGGGTCATGATGCCGAGCCAGAGCCACAGAGGGGGGAAACGCTGCTGAAGATGTCTGTGGAGGCAGCAGCTGGAGACAGGACAGACCGATGTGGGGGGGGGGGTGGGGGGGACGGGGGGGGGGAGCCCTGGTGTGTGGGCAGGGGGAGGGGCTGCAGCCAATGGAAGCCCGGGGATCCCGCCCCCGGGCCAGGCCACCCCGCCCCCGCCCCGCCCCCCGCCGACGTCCCCGCCCCTTCCCCAAGGGTGGGGGCCACAGGGAGGGGGCTGCGGGGCTCGAGGCACGCAGAGGGACTGAGATCCACACGGGCTGGAGAGAAAAAGCACGTTTTATTGGAATTCTAGCCGGCACGGGGGCATCTGCTGGGGCCGGGCCGGGGCAGGGGGGGGGGGGGAGGTGGCAGGCAGGTGTGCAGATCCTGTGGGGTGGATGGATGGGCGGGAGGCTTCCAGCCCGCCTGGCCACCTCGCCTCCCTGCCCCCTCCCCGGCCTCCTCTCCACCCCCCCCCCCCCCAGCCCGGGCTGCGCTGCAGGATTGCTCTGGGCTCCGTGGCTTCAGGATTCTCTACCGCATGCGGGTGGACAGACCTGAGGGGAGGGAACGCACAGCCTGGGTGTCAAGAGGAAATCGGGGCGCCTGGGATGCGGGAAGGAGGCAGGGCTGGGGCAGGGCCTCTCTTCCTGCCCCCCACTCCCCACTTCCAGGCAGAGGGCTGGGGGCAACTTTCCTGCCCCCCTCCCTCCTCCAGGGAGAGCCAGGAAAAGGTTCTGAGAATCAGCTTTCACCCTCAAACACCCACAGTCTCCCCAAACTCACGACGGATGGAGCTCCGGAAAGTTCCCTCCTCTTCATCAGGCTCCCCAGTTCTGGAAAGGAAAAGGCAGAGACAGATGGAGATCCAGCCACTCCCGGGTACCCCTCAATGCAGCCCTCCTTTCCCATATGGGGGGGGGGGGACCAGGCCCAGCTCTGCATAAGAAACAGGCTTGGGAGAGAGGGGGGCTACTGTGAACCTGTGAATGAACCCCCAGAAGCAGCCTAACTGTGCTGCAGGAGCCCAGACCACGCCTGCCATCCTAGCTACTCAGGAGGCTGAGATCTGAGGACCGAGGTTCAAGGCCAGCCCAGGGAAGGAAAGCCTGCCAGACTCTTATCTCCAAGGGGCCAGCAAACAGCTGGAAGTAGCCGGGTGCTGGTGGCTCACGCCTGGCATCCTAGCTACTCAGGAGGCTGGGATCTGAGGATCAAGGGTCAAAGCCAGCCGAGGAAAGAAAGTCTGTGAGACTCTTATCTCCATTGAACCACCAGAAAACCGGAAGTGGAGCTGTGGCTCTAATGAGAGAGCCACGAGTGAAAAAGCTCAGGGACAGTACCAGGCCCCGAGTTCAAGCCCCGGGACCGGAAAAGCGGAAAGCAGGGCTATGGCTCAGTGGTTGGGCCTCAGACGCACACATCTATCTATCTATCTATCTATCTGTCTGTCTGTCTGTCTGTCTGTCTGTCTGTCTGTCTGTCTGTCTGTCTATCTATATCATCACTGTCTGCAGGTGCCCGCGCACGCCCGGCCATGGGCGGTGGCCATGGGTCGTCTGTGCCTGAAATGTGCGTGGAAAGCTGAGTGGACCCCGGGCTGGGATCCAAAGGGGGCCGCGGGGTGCGGTGATCTCATCTTCCCCTGCTCGGGGCGTTCTCCCGCCCCGTGCTGGTGCCGCTGCCGGCCTCGGGTCACCCCCGGCCGCCGCCGCCCCGCCCCGGCCCGGGACCCGGCTGGGGCCGGGCACTCGGTCAGCCGGCGCGGCCGGCCGCTCGCAGCTAGCTGGGCACCGCGGGGCGAGTGGAGACCGTGAGGAGGGACGGGCTGCTTACTTCTGCTGCTGGTTGAACTTGCACCGGCATTTCTTGCCTGTGAGGATAAGGAGGAAGCACGGGCTGAGAGCCTCGCCGGGAGCGCCCCGCGCCCCGCCCGGCCGCCGTGCGCTCCCGGAGCAGCGCAGCCGCGCCCGCCGGGGAGGCGTGGGAGGCGGGGCGGGGCCTGGGCGGTCCCGGAGGTGGGCGGGGGTGGCAGTGGGCGAGGCCAATGCGAGGCTGGAGGCGGGCACCTGGCGGGGGCGGGCTTTGAAAGGGGCGGGGCCACGGGTAGGGTGGCGGGGGCGGGGCCGCAGAAGGGGCGGTGCCAAGGTGGGCGTGGTGGTCTAAAGTGGGCGTGGTCGACAACAAGCTGGAGGCGGAGCCGAACGGGGAGGGGGCGGGTTTAGAAGTAAGGCGGAGCCAGGACAGGGTTGGAGGTAGAGGGGTGGGCTGTTTGGGGGCGTGGCCTGACGGCCACGTTCGTTTTGAGGGCGGGGCTGGGGCGGAGTCATGACTATCCAAGCGGGAAAGCGGGGGCAAGGTAGATGGTGGGCGTGGCCCTGGCGGGCTATGGGTGGGATGGGGTCCGGGACGGGTGGGGCCCAGGTGGGTGCAGACACTCACTGAGGATGATGAGGATGCCCAGGATGAAGAGGACCCCGGCGATGGTAAGGCCTCCGATCCTCAGGGATTTGTAGTCTGTGCATAGGGGAGGAGGAGGGAAAGGAGATCAATTAGAGAGCAGACAGAGGAGGAGAGGGGGAGAAGGGGGGGAGGGGGGAGGATAGAGGGGAGGAGAGGGGGAGGGGGGAGGATGGAGGGGAGGAGCAGGGCGGGGGGGGGGGAGGAGCAGGGGACAGCAGAAGATGGGCCATCGGGTACTGTGAGAGCTTGAGTCAAAAGGGGAGAGAAACAGAAAGACAGAAACAGAGACAGACAGACAGAAACAGAGACAGAGGGAGAAAAAAATAAAACCCAAGGCCTCCCCAAAATAGAAGCTCCCCTTACCATAAGTGAATGGGTCGTGTTCCGGTGAAGCTTCTGGAAAAAAAAGAGAGAGCCAGAGAACGCAGAGTTTGGCTGCTGCCCCGACTAGGAGCAGGAGCTGGGAAAGACCCTTTAGGGCCTCTGGTCTTCGGGGCTGGCATTTTGGGAACTGTGGGGCCCTCAGCAGACAGCCCTACCTGCCCTGGGTCCTAGCTGCCCTCTCTGTCCCTGACTTGAGGTGGGGTGGGGGCCCCACCAGCCCACCCCAGCCTCATATCTTCCAGTGTGTCATCGGTCCCCAAAGACAGCCACCATCCACTCCCACCTCCCGCTGGCCCACAGGATCTTCTCCTCCTCCAAATGCCAGCCTGTAAGTGACGGTCATGGGGACTCCCATTTCCTGTCACTCCATTTCCTTTCTTCTCCAACTCACCTGCCTTGGCCATGGCTAGGAGGCCCACACAGAAAACCAAGGTGTGGCTGACAGGTGCCATTGTCCTGAGGAACAATAAGAGTAAGTGAAAGGCTGGCACCAGTGGCCCACGCCTGCAATCCTGGCTACTCAGGAGGCTTCGAGCTGGAGGATCGAGGTTCAAAGCCAGCCTGGGCAGGAAAAGATATGAGACTGTGGGGGGTGGGGGAGGGAGGGGTCACGGGGTTTGAACTCTGGGCCTGGGCACTGTCCCTCAGCTCTTCAGCTCAAGACAAGCACTCTACCACTTGAGCCAGCCACAGTGCCACTTCCGGTTTTCTGGTGGTTTATTGGAGGTTAAGAGTCTCAGACTTTCCTGCCTGGGCTGGCTTTGAACCTCCATCCTCAGATCACAGCCTCCTGACTAGCTACGATTACAGGCGCGAGCCACCAACGCCCGGCAATATGAGATTTTTAATTCCAATGAACCACCAGAAAATCAGAAGTGGCACTGTGGCTCAAAATGGTAAAGCACTAGCCTTGAGAAAAAGAGCACACAGACAATGTCCAGGCCTTGAGTTCAAGCTCCATGACTGACAAATAAATAAGTAAGTAAATAAATAAATGAGGGGAAAGTTGGCCTGCCCCTATAATGCCGCCCAAATCCAAAGGGGTTAAATCCTACACAAGCCAGGGCTTAATCACAATTGTCAGTCATTCAGCCTAGTTGCCCAAGAAACAGGGGCACCGCTGGTTTCATGGGGCTGTGTCACCAAAACAACTCACACAGTTGTGGAGAGATGGACACGCAGAGGCCTCCCTGCTCCCCAGGCCTCCACCTCCAGATTCCCCCCCCCACACACACCTACCCTAGCGGGGGGTCAGAATTGCAGGTGACAGCCAGCCAGCCAGAACAGACCATACTGGGCCCTGGTCCCACGAGTCCCTGCACACCCGGGCTCCGCTGTGTCTCTTGTAGTCCCAGCACTCTAGCTCTGGGCTGCCCGCCCGCTCTCTGCCTGACCCTGGGTATAAATATCTCCCACTTCACCCCTGAGGAATTCGCACAGGCCACCGGGCCACAGCCTTTCCCTCTTCTCCCCACTTGTATGGTTTGGGGGGGGTCACACATAGATAAGTAAAGCCTGGTGGGTCACACGCTGCTGAGCCACCCCTGATTCTGTTAGAAAAGCGAGGGAGGGGGGAACCAGCCCATGGGGCCACCTCTGGGTGCCCCTAAGCAGTCAACACCAGCCAAAGAACCTCAGAGACAGAAGACAGATGTGCAGGGCGTGGCCGCGCATGCGCACAGGGGCAGAGCCAGACCGCAGCCATGGCCCCCTCCCTCCCACTGCTGGCTGGGGGTGTCTTCGTGTGACAAGAAGATCTGTGTACACCTACACCCCAACAGCAGGGAGCCACCCTCGTTCCTACCCCGCAGCACCCCTACTGTTTCTGTTTTCTCCTCCCAGCCTTGGGTCAGGCCTGCTGGGAGCCAGGATTGGCCCCTCCTGTTCCCAAAAATAGGCCGCCCAGGCCCAGGGGAGAGGGCCTATGGGGAGTGTGGGGGGAGGACACTTACCCCAATCTCACTGTCTCCTGCTGAAAGAAGGTCTCCCCAAATGTCCGGGCTGTGACCCAGGGGCTGACACTTCAGACCCCCTGGTCCAGGGCTGGAGCCGGGCACCCCTAGCAGGCTCCCCTCTTGGCCCCACCCTTCCCCTCCCCAACCAGCAGCTGTAATTGGAGCCCGGGCTGGAGGGGGGCCAGGGGGCGGCCCCCAGCCCAGACCGCCCCGGTCCACTCGGTTAACTCTCTCAGCTCAGACTGCATCTACAGCCGCGCCCCAGGGCATGCACAACCCATGGGGGACTCAATCTTACCTATGGGGCCTGCCCCAGCATGGAGCGTGTGCAACACCGGGGCAGAAGGTCAGGCGGGCTCAGGGTGAACAAGCCCAGCGACTTCCGATCACAGTGTTCTTTTTTGGTTTTAGTTTGGGGTTTGGGGGTGTTTGTTTTTTCTTGGTCCTGGTTTGGGGACTTGAACTCAGAGCCTAGGTGATGGCCCTGATTTTTTTCCCCCTCCTGTTCAAGGCTAGTACTCTATCACTTGAGTCACAGCTCTACTTCCAGCCTTTTGCTATTTCTTTGGAGATCATACTCTCAGGGACTTTCCTGCCTGGGCTGGCTTTGAACTTCGATCCTCAGATCTCAGCCTCCCCAGTGTAGCTGGGATTACAGGAGTAAGCTACCAGGGCCTGGCTGACCACAATATTCTGTGCAGTCCTTGTCAGAGTCCCCGGGTTGTTGGTTTCTTTCGGAGGTCTTTCAGTGTGTGTGTGTGTGTGTGTGTGTGTGTGTGCTGTCTCCTGCTGGCTGTGAGATTCACCAGGGACTAGCGTGCACACACGCACGCGCGCACACACACATACACACACCACATGGACATGGCTGGCCACACAGACAGACAGGTACAGTATGTTCATACAGTGCAAACCACCAACCAACATGTTTAACCTTGAACTTTCCCTTCCATGAGCTCATGTGGCCCTGATTACATGTATATGGGGGGTGGGGGGTGGGAAGGGAGCTAGACATAATCTGAGTTCACAGGCCTTGGTGACAGGAAGCTCAGGTCAGGCCTAAACTCTGCCTCCTGGTTATGTGACATTGGGCAACCCTTGTCACCTCCCTCCCAGGATTTCCTGAGCTATAAAATGGAGAAATCAGAGGCTAGGAAGGTGACTCAGTGGTAGAGCGCTTGCCTAACATGCATGAAGCCCTGGGTTCGATCCCTCAGTACCACATACACAGAAAAAACCAGAAGTTTCACTGTGGCTCAAGTGGTAGAGTGCTAGCCTTGAGTAAAAGAAGCTCAGGGACAGTGCCCAGGCCCTGAGTTCAAGCCCCAGGAGAAAAAAGAAAAAAAAAAGGAGAAATCAAGCTGGGTTCTAAGGATCGTGGTTCAAAGCCAGCCTAGGCAGGAAAGCCTATGAGACTCTTATCCCCAGTGAACCACCAAATAATAACAATAACAGTAATGATAAAGCTGAAAGTGGAGGTGTGGCTCAAGCAATAGCAGGGGTAAAAAGCATGATCCTCAGATCTCAGCCTCCTGAATAGCTAGGATTACAGGCGTGAGCCACTATACCAGGCCTCAAGATTGTTTTCAAGAAGAGAAAACAGACATCTAGCCAAGGGCAGCTGGTTTTCCTGAGGTTCTCCCTTGGTGATTAAGGACAGAAATGGTCCCCAGCTTTAAGTGTCAGACACCACTCTCAGGAGCCTGGATTCACACCTAGGACACGTGTGGCCCAGTCTTATACCCACATGCACCTGGCCCCAGAGACCGCCAGTGGCTCTGAGGCTCCTCCATGCCTGGCTTTCTGAGCCCCCACAGCCTCTGGCCTGGGTGGCCCTGCACCCCAGGGTCACCAGCCATTTCTGGTTAATAATAACTCTAATGTTTACGCAGCTCAAAGGTGGGGACAGAGAAGGTAGGGCGCCAACAGGAGGTGGGGGGGGGCCACCTGGCCAGCTCCTAGCTGATCCAGCTTCCTTCCCTTCCCCGGCTCACTCTGGATCCTTGACTGCCCCCTGGTGGAGTAGCTAGGAAGTCCCTAGCTGGGTGATGCTGGGTAAATAACTCAGCGTCTCTAAGTCTCAGTTGCTCAGGAGGTTGAGATCTAAGGATCTGGTTCAAAGCCAGCTGGGGCAGGAAAGGCCGTGAGACTCTTATCTCCAATGAACCAACAAGAAGCTGGAAGTGGAGGTGTGGTTCAAGTAGTAGAGTGCCAGCTAAGGGATAGCCCAGGACTGAGTTCAAGTCCCAGTACTGGTGTGTGTGTACCCGTGTGTGTACACACGCACGGGTACACACACACACACACACACACACACTCAGGCTCTGCCTCCGGCTGTTCATCCTCTTCCTCAGTTTCTCTCCCTGGAAACAGATACAAAGTCCTCCCTCCTGCCCCCCCCCCCTTTTTTTTTCCCAATCCTCAGGGCCTGAGCACTAACCCTGAGCTATTTTTACTCTACCACTTGAACCACTCCTTCACTTCCAGCTTTTAGTTTGTTTGTTTGGGTTTTGTTTTGGCGGTTCATTAGAGGTAAGAGTCTCACGGCTTTTCCTGCCCAGGCTGGCTTTGAACCGTGATCCTCCGATCTCAGCATCTTGAGTAGCTAGGACGAGGGACATGAGCACTAATGCCCAGCTATAAGAGGAAGTTTTAGCGCAGAGCTTGGGGCTGAGTTAAGAGCAGCAAGGGAGATGGCGTGGCAGTTGGCAGGACCTTGGGCTGAGTGAGCTGTGGGGTTCTAAGGGTTAATTGCAGAGGAGGGGAAAAGAGGGGGGACAGGCAGGGCAGTGGCCCTGCCCAGTGTGGCCACCAGAGGGCACAGTTGGACCTGGGCTGGCCCTTCTATCCCCTGTGACAGCGCCCACCACACCCTCCAAGAGAAGGGGCCCTGGCTGGGCGTGGCCAGTGTCCCCCACCCCCATCTCCCATCTGTACAGCCACCTGATCCCCGCCCTGGGGACCACCGCCTGGATGGACCGATGGGAGCATCTGGGATGAGGGTTAGCTGGGAGCGGTCTGATGACCCCCCCTACCTCCCCCCAGAGAACATGGATCCCTTCCCCAGGTCCCCAGGCTGTGCTTCTGAGAGCCTCTGACCCCCCTCCCCCTCCCCTCCCCTGCCCCTCCCCCTCCTCATCCTCTAACTCTCCCTGGCTGAACTCATCTGAGGCCATCAGGGAACAGGGGCGCGGGCGGCAGGGAGGCTGGCGATGCAGAGGGACACACGGACACACACACCCAAAGAGCTTGAGCCCCAGACAGACGGACAGACACACCGAGGCCTCGAGATCCACACTGGAGATTCAAGTCAGGAAGCGAAAAGAGACCCCATAGCAAGTCAGACGGCCAAGATCTCATCGCAGGGCCGCGGGGCAGGCCGAGAGCAAGGCGCTCGCCCCCTCCGGGCTGCGGGGCGCCCGGCTGGCATCATGTAGTGTGTGCAGGGGGGAGCCGGCCGGGTGGAGGCTGCGGGGGGCTTTAGTGGGGGGCTGGAGGGGAAGGGCAGGGGGATGGGCGGGGCGAGGCTGCTGCTGCTGCTGCTGCTGGCTGGGGCATGGGTAGGGGTGGCCTGGAGACCCCCAAAAGGGAAATGCCCCCCTCGCTGCTCCTGCTCCAAAGACAGCGCCCTGTGTGAGGGTTCCCCAGAGCTGCCCGAGAGCTTCACCCCAACACTTCTGTCACTGTGAGTGTGTGGTCCTCGTGGGGCTGGGGGAGTGAGGGGGAATGGGATGCTGGGACCCCCCCAAGGGTGGAGGCAGAAAGTAGGGGGGGGCAGGATCCCTCTCCCCAGCAGGAACTTGGAGAGCAAAGGATCTTGGGATGTTCGGGAGAGAGCTAAGAGGGTTAGGAAGGCAGTACTGGGGAGATGTGGGGGGCTCAGGGAGTGAGCAGTCAGGGGGTGCAGGGTGAGTACTGTTGGGGTCCTTGAAAACTACAAGGGCAAGTAGGGGGGAGAAGCACGGAGCTCCCCGGCGGGGCTTGGTCGGGTTTGGGATAGAACCTTGAGATGGCTTTCTCCTGACGCCTCCCCCCACCGTGTCTCCAGCTCACTTGTGAGACTGGGGGTGCCCCAGCTGAAGGCCGGAAGCTTCCTCAAGATGCCAACTCTGCACCTGCTGTGAGTGAGGCCTGGGCCCTGGGCTGCAGGAATTCCTGCACATGTGTGTGCATGTGTGCATACACGAGGGTGTTAGTCCCATGGAGTGTGTACATGCGTATGTGTCCATGTACACCCACCAAAAGCCATGTGGGGGCCCATGGGCTGAGAGTGAAGACCAAAGTTCCAGAGTCAGAAGGGGATCTGAACCCTGTGCTAGTAGCTTACACCTGTCATCCCAGCTACTCAGGAGGCTGAGATCTGAGGATCATGGGTCAGAGCCAGCCAGGGGTAAAAAAAAATCTGTGTGAGACTATTTCCAATGAAATAACAAAAAGCCAGATGTGGAGCTGTGGCTCAAGTGGTAGAGCACCAGCCTTGAGCACCCTTGGGGGGTGGGGGCGGGGCAACAAACAATGCTCAGGCTCTGAGTTCAAACCCCAGCACTGGCAAAAGAAGGAAGAAGGGAGGGAAGGAGGGAGGGAGGAAGAGAGGGAAGGAAGGAAGGAAGGAAGGAAGAGAGGGAAGGAAGGAAAGAAGGAAAATTTCCATCTTGCTCCTTTCTCAGACTCTTCACATCCAACTCCTTCTCTGTGATTGAAGACGATGCATTTGCCGGCCTGTCCTATTTGCAGTACCTGTGAGTCAGGGCCGGGGCGGGGCACAGGTGGGCTTGGGAGGAGATGCCTGGCGCACCTGCAGCAACCAGAGTAGCAGCAGGAGCTGATGATGGCGATAAAAATGGAGGAACTGAGTCAGATCCCAGCGGCTCACACCCATCATCCTAGCTACTCAGGAGGCTGAGATCTGAGGATCGGGGTTCAAAAGCCAGCCCGGGGAGAAAAGTCCAGGACACTTTTCTCACCAGTGAACCAGCAGAAAACCAGAAGTGGAGGTGTGGCTCAAGTGGTAGAACACCAGCCTTGAGCCACAAAGCCGAGAGACAGCACCACCCAGGCTCTGAGTTCAAGTCCCAATACCCCCTCCTACACACACACACACACACACACACACACACACACACAGAGGTTTTTCAGGTTTCTCTGCCATCACTGAAGTGAGGGGCCCAAAGGTAACACTTCCCATGGTCCCCCAATTCTGGGGCACCCCCTCACTCTGCCTCCCCCCCCCCTCCAGCTTCATTGAGGACAACGAGATCGGCTCCATCTCCAAGAATGCTCTCAGAGGTCTTCGCTCGCTCACTCACCTGTGGGTGCCCCCCCTCGCCCTCCCTGACCACACCCTGTACCGCTCCCCCTCCCCCCCATGCCCCTGTCCCCCAAGACAGCTGATGGAGTTCCCTTCTCTTCCTCTCCTTCCCCAAGGAGCCTGGCCAACAACCGCCTGGAGGCCCTACCTAGATTTCTCTTCCGAGGCCTGGACACCCTGACCCACGTGTGAGGATGGGGAGGTGGGGGGCCCTCCCCGCTCACTCCCATCCACCGCTCCCACCCAGGTGGGGCAGCTGGGTCCCAGCCCCTTTCCCTCCGTGGCTTTTGGTCCCAGGGATCTGCGGGGAAACCCTTTCCAGTGTGACTGCCGAGTGCTGTGGATCCTGCAGTGGATGGCCACGGTGAATGCCAGCGTGGGCACCGGGGCCTGCGCCGGCCCCGCTGCCCTGGCCCGCACGCAGCTCCAGCATCTGGAGCCAGCCAGCTTCAAGTGCCGGTCTGTAGGTAAGAGTGTACAGCCTAAGCCAGGCACGGTGCCTCACGCCTGTAATCCCAGCCACTCAGGAGGCCGAGATCTGAGGATCCTGGTTTAAAGCCAGCTCCAGCAAGAAAGTCAGTGAGACTCTTATCTCCAATCAACCAGAAACTGGAAGTGGCATTGTGGCTCAAGTGGTAGAGCACTCATCTTGAGCAAAAGAAGCTCAGGGACAGTGCCCAGGCCCTAAGTTCAAGCCCCACTACTGACCACAAAAACAAAAGGAGTTCACAGCCTTCTCCCACCCCCAGGGCTAAGAGGGACAGCAAGGGCTCTCCTCCCCTCCCACCGCTCCCAGGAGAAGGCTAGGGGTGTAGGGGGCGCTGGCAGCCAGACGGAGGGACTGACCTCACTTCTGGTCCTGTTTTAGGCCTGTGAGATCTTGAACACATAGCATCATATTCCCAGCCTCAGTTTCCTTATCTGCAAAATAAGAACATGAAGGCAAAGCCGGGTGCCGGTGGCTCACACCTGTCATCCTAGCTACTCAGGAGGCTGAGATCTGAGGATCACGGTTCAAAGCCAACCCAGGCAGGAAAGTCCATGAGACTAAACTAGAAAACCGGAAGTGGCACTGTGGCTCAAGCAGTAGAGCACTAGCCTTGAGCTGAAGAGCTGAGGGACAGCGCCCAGGCCCAGAGTTCAAGCCCCATGACCGACCTCCCCCCCCAAAAAAAGCGAAGGGTCAGTTCCGAGGCCCTGAGTTGGAGTCCCAGCACTCACACACACACACACATACACACACACACCTTAGCTGTGACATGTTTCTGGGGACAGGACTCAAAGCACAAGGAGGTTTATCTCCAGGGTCACCCTTGTTTCGTTTTTCTTCTGGGGCTGGGGCTGAAAGCCAGAGCCCCGCCCACCCAGGCAGGCGCTTTGCTGCCCAGCCACACCCCAGGCCTGCCTGGGAAACTGTATTCAGAGACTGCACAGGCCTTCAGTGACACCACCCTCCTCCCCGGCCCCAGAAGTGAGGGGAACACTGTGGTGCTGACCTCATGGGACAAACAGTTCTGGGGATTAGGCAGGTGGGTGCTAAGTGAGACATGACGCCAAGAAGAATGCTCTAAAGAGGGGCTGGAAAAGTGGCTCAGTGGTAGAGCGCTTGCCTTGCATACATGAAGCCCTGGGTTCGATTCCTCAGTACCACATAAGCAGAAAAAGCCCGAAGTGGTGCTGTGGCTCAAGTGCCTAGGCCTAGAGTTCAGGCTCCACAATTGGCAAAAAAGAAAAAAAAGAATGCTCTAAAGACAGTGTCGTGGCTCACGCCTGTCATCCTAGCTCCTCAGGAGGCTGAGATCTGAGGATCACAGTTTGAAGCCATCAGCTTGAAGCCAGCCGGGGCAGGAAAAGTCCATAAGACTCTTATCTCTAGTGAACCAACAGAAGTGGTATTATGGCTCTAGTGGTCAAGTGCCAGCCAGACTCAGTGCCTAGACCCTGAGTTCAAACCCCAGGCCGGCACAAAATGAAGAACATGCTATGCTTTGTGATCAGAACATGGAGTGGAGAGATACTTTGGGACGGTGTCTTGCCTTTTGCTGTTGTTGTTGTTGTTGGTGGTGGTGGTGGTGGTGGTGATGGTGGTGGTGGTGGTGGTGGTCATGGGTCTTGGGCCTGGGCGCTGTCCCTCAGTTCTTCAGCTCAAGGCGAGCTCTCTATCACTGGAGCGACAGCGCCACTTCCCATATTCTGGTGGTTCATTGGAGATCAGAGTCTCATGGACTTACCTGGGCTGGCCTCCAACCTCATTCCTCCCATCTCAGCCTCCTGAGTAGCTAGGACGATTGTCTGTGAGTCCCCCCCCCTCCATGCCCGGACAGCCCTTTGGGGGGGGGAACCTCCCAGGCCTGCCCACCTCTCTCCTGTCCCCCCCACCCCCACCCCTTAGAGCTGTCCTGGTTCCAGAGGATCGAGGACCCCGCGCTGAGCGTGGAGCCCTTCTCCTACCAGGGCGCGGCCCACGTGGTCCTGGCGCAGCCCTTCGCGGGCCGCTGCCTCATCCTGGTTTGGGATTACGGCCTCCAGCGCTTCAGGCCTGAGGAAGAGCTGTCGGGTGAGGCCTGCCCCCTCCCCTGCCCCCCGTCCTGCCCCCCTCCTGCCCCCCCAGCCGCCCCCCGGTGACCGTGCGCCCCGCACCCCGCCCGCAGCGCCGTCCGTGGTGTCCTGCAAGCCGCTGGTGCTGGGCCCGCGCCTGTTCGTGCTGTGCGCCCGGCTGTGGGGGGGCTCGCAGCTGTGGGGGCGCGCGGGCCCCGAGCTGCGCCTGGCCCCGCTGCAGGCGCTGGGCCCCGGGCGGCTGCTGCGGCCCAACGACGCGGAGCTGCTGTGGCTGGACGGGCAGCCGTGCTTCGTGGTGGCCGACGCGTCCAAGGCGGGCACCACCACGCTGCTGTGCCGCCAGGGCGCCGGCTTCTACCCGCGCCAGAGCCTGCACGCCTGGCGCCGCGACACCGACGCCGAGGTGCTGCGCCTGGACGGCCGGCCGCACCTGCTGCTGGCCTCCGCCTCGCAGCGGCCCGTCCTCTTCCAGTGGCGCGGCGGCCGCTTCGAGCGCCGCACCGACATCCCCGAGGCCGAGGGCGTCTACGCCGCGCGCCACTTCCACGCCGCCGGCGAGGTGTTCCTGTGCCTCACGCGCTTCATCGGGGACTCCATGGTAAGGGGGGTGGGGGGACTGCCGGCTGGGGGAGGGGCGATCGTGGCCCCCCAGCAATCCCACCCACCCCAGCAATCCTACCCCCCCCAGCAATCCTACACCCCCCCCAGCAATCCCACACCCCCCCAGCAATCCCACACCCCCCCAGCAATCCTACACCCCCCCAGCAATCCCACACACCCCCAGCAATCCCACACCCCCCCAGCAATCCCACACCCCCCCAGCAATCCCACACACCCCCAGCAATCCTACACCCCCCCAGCAATCCTACACCCCCCAGCAATCCTACACCCCCCCAGCAATCCTACACCCCCCCCAGCAATCCCACCCCCCCCCAGCAATCCCACACCCCCCAGCAATCCTACACCCCCCAGCAATCCTACACCCCCCCAGCAATCCCCCCCCAGCAATCCTACACCCCCCAGCAATCCTACACCCCCCCCAGCAATCCTACACCCACCCAGCAATCCTACACCCCCCCCAGCAATCCCACCCCCCCCCAGCAATCCTACACCCCCCCCAGCAATCCTACACCCCCCAGCAATCCTACACCCCCCAGCAATCCTACACCCCCCCAGCAATCCTACACCCCCCAGCAATCCTACACCCCCCCCAGCAATCCTACACCCACCCCAGCAATCCTACACCCCCCAGCAATCCTACACCCCCCAGCAATCCTACACCCCCCCAGCAATCCCACACCCCCCCCAGCAATCCCACACCCCCCCAGCAATCCCACACCCCCCCAGCAATCCTACACCCCCCCAGCAATCCCACACCCCCCCAGCAATCCCACACCCCCCCAGCAATCCTACACACCCACCCCAGCAATCCCACACCCCCCCAGCAATCCCACACCCCCCCAGCAATCCCACACCCCCCCCAGCAATCCTACACCCACCCCAGCAATCCCACACCCCCCCAGCAATCCTACACCCCCCAGCAATCCTACACCCCCCCCCAGCAATCCCACACCCCCCCAGCAATCCTAACCCCCGCAGCAATCCTAACCCCCCCAGCAATCCCACACCCCCCCAGCAATCCTACACACACCCCCAGCAATCCCACACCCCCCAGCAATCCTACACCCCCCCCAGCAATCCCACACCCCCCAGCAATCCTACACCCCCCCAGCAATCCCACACCCCCCCAGCAATCCTACACCCACCCCAGCAATCCTATACCCCCCAGCAATTCTACACCCCCCAGCAATCCTACACACCCCCAGCAATCCTACACCCCCCAGCAATTCTACACCCACCCCCAGCAATCCTACACCCCCCCAGCAATCCTACACCCCCCAGCAATCCTACACCCCCCCCAGCAATCCCACACCCCCCAGCAATCCTACACCCCCCCAGCAATCCTACACCCCCCCAGCAATCCTACACCCCCCAGCAATCCTACACCCCCCCAGCAATCCTAACCCCCGCAGCAATCCTAACCCCCCCCAGCAATCCCATACCCCCCCAGCAATCCTACACACACCTCCAGCAATCCCACACCCCCCAGCAATCCTACACCCCCCCCAGCAATCCCACACCCCCCAGCAATCCTACACCCCCCCCCAGCAATCCCACACCCCCCCAGCAATCCTACACCTACCCCAGCAATCCTACACCCCCCAGCAATTCTACACCCCCCCAGCAATCCTACACACCCCCAGCAATCCTACACCCCCCAGCAATTCTACACCCCCCAGCAATCCTACACCCCCCCAGCAATCCTACACCCACCCCCAGCAATCCTACACCCCCCCAGCAATCCTACACCCACCCAGCAATCCTACACCCCCCAGCAATCCCACACCCCCCCAGCAATCCCACAGCCCCCAGCAATCCTACACCCCCCCAGCAATCCCATACCCCCCCAGCAATCCTACACCCCCCAGCAATTCTACACCCCCCAGCAATCCTACACCCCCCCCAGCAATCCCACACCCCCCCAGCAATCCCACACCCCCAGCAATCCTACACCCCCCCCGCAATCCTACACCCCCCCCAGCAATCCCACACCCCCCCAGCAATCCTACACCCCCCCAGCAATCCCACACACCCCCAGCAATCCTACACCCCCCCCCAGCAATCCCCCCCCCAGCAATCCTACACCCCCCCCAGCAATCCTACACCCACCTCCAGCAATCCTACACCCCCCAAGCAATCCTACACCTACCCCAGCAATCCTACACCCCCCAGCAATCCCACACCCCCCAAGCAATCCTACATCCCCCCCCAAACAAACTTCTGACCTGGCCTGGGGGAGCCCCAGGGGCTGCTTTATTTTTTATTCTTCCGGTGCCAAGGCTAGGATTTGAACTCAGGGCCTGGGCTCTGTCCCTTAGCTCTTTTGCCCTGCCCCTTTGAGCTACTGCAGCTCCACCCGCTGGGTTTTCCAGATGGTTCACTGGAGATCAGAGTCTCATGGCCTTTCCTGCCCCAGCTGGCCTCAAACCACCATCCTCAGATCTCAGCCTCCCTGAGTGGCTGGCAGGCATGAGCCACCAGTGCCACCAGGCTTCGGGTGTTACCTTTGGACTCTGAGTCCACCTCCACCACTGTGACCCATCAAAGCTGGTGGGCCCTAAAAGATTACCCCCAGGATTATATTCTTTTTTATTTATTTATTTTTGTCAGTCATGGGGCTTGAACGCTGGGCCTGGGCGCTGTCCCTCAGCTCTTCAGCTCAAGGCGAGTGCTCTGCCACTTGAGCCACAGCGCCACTTCTGGTTTTCTGAGTGGTTGATTGGAGACAAGAGTCTCACAGTCTTTCCTGCCCGGGCTGGCTTTGAACCACCATCCTCAGATCTCAGCCTCCTGAGTAGCTGGGGTGACAGGCAGGAGCCATCAAGCGTCTGGGCTGGATGGTGACTTTTATAAAGCTAAGGATGCTCTGGGAATGTGGGGGGCTCCTATCTGGCTCCCCAGATGCCCCCGGCTGAGCCAGCTGCACTGCCCACCCACAGGTCATGCGCTGGGACGGCTCCATGTTCCGCCCCCTGCAGCTCCTGCCGTCCCGAGGCGCCCACGTCTTCCAGCCCCTGCTCATCGCCAGGGACCAGCTGGCCATCCTGGGCAGTGACTTTGCCTTCAGCCAAGTCTTCCGCCTTGAGCCCGAGCAGGGGCTCCTGGAGCCGCTGCAGGAGCTGGGCCCCCCAACTTTGCTCTCCCCCAGGGCCTTTGCCCACGTCACCTTAGCGGGCAAACACTTCCTCTTTGCCGCCTGCTTCAAGGGCCCCACGCAAATCTACCAGCACCACGAGCTGGACCTCAGCGCTTGAGCTAGCAGTGCCCTGTGCCCACCCAACCTGCACAGTGCTGGAGGATGGGGGCTGGCAGGCTGCGTCTGGGGGCGTGGCCTGGCAGGCCAGAACCAATCATCAACCATAGATCCAGCCTCAGCCAGGTGGAGGATTTGCCCCGCTGGGGAAAATGGAGAATTGCTGCCTGCTGCAACTTTGAAGCTGGGCAGATGTCCCCCTCTGCCTGCCCCCCGCCCCCCGGGCTGACTAAAAGAGGGGGGCAGATCCCCCTACCACGAAGATGACTTGAGGGGGAGCTTTACTTAGAGTCACAATACAGTGGGGATGGGGGAATCTGAGGGGTGCTCATGCAAATGTCTGAAAGCACCCAACTCAACTTTACCCTGTGAAAGAACCCAAGGAATGCTAGGCGCCGGCTGGTGGCTGGCGGCTGGCGGCTTGTCATCCTAGCTACTCAGGAGGCTGAGATCTGGAGGATCGCGGTTCGAAGCCAGCCCAGGGCAAGAGAACGCCATGAAGACTCTTCTCTCCAATGAACCAAAACAAGCCAGAAGACATGGAGCTGTGGCTCAAAGGGGCAGAGCAGATAATGCTAAGGGACAACGGCCCTCAAGCCTTGAGTTCAAGTCCTGGTCCTGGCACCCATTAAAACACAAACCACCACAACAGAAAGAATACGGTCCTTGCCTCTGAACTCATTCTGGCCAATGGCTTTCGGGCTGGCCTTTGTGACGTCACTGTTGCTGGGCAGTGCTGCTGTACATCCAGGGGTTCACACCCAGTGGGAAGAGGGAGATGGAGCCTTGGGTACTCTCTCCCGAATACGGAGGAGGGGACAAGACAAGTCATATGGATTTGACAAATGTGCTGGCACCCGCCCCCTTGCCCATGGTTGTGGGGTCCTGGAAGGGACCCTGGGGGCAGGGGGGGGGTGTCTCGTGAACGGTTTTCTGGTTTCTGGGTGAATGGTTCATTGGACATAGACTCTCACAGATGTTCCTGCCTGGGCTGGCTTTGAACCTCGACCCTCTACGATCTCAGCCTTCTGAATAGCAAGGATGACAGGCGTGAGCCACCTGCGCCTGGCTCCGAGTTTTCTTTTTCTGAAATCTTGTCTGTCTGTCTCCAGGGCCTAGTAGGGAATTCTTTTGGGGGTGAAATGTTTGGAAAAGATTTAGGGGAGGGGATGAGAACATTTGGGAAGTCTTCCTTGAGTATTGGGAGCTTTGAGGTCCCCTGGGGTTCTCATATCCCCTAGGGCCACCCTCAAGGGGTGCAGTGGGGAATAGTTCTTCACCTCCTGGTCCCCAGCCTCACCCCCCACCCCCGCCCTGTGCACCCACACAGAGTCGCCAGACCTCCTGGGTGGCAATCAAGATTACATTTTATTCAAAACTAAACAGACAGCTCCTTCCTAGGAGAGCTGAGGGGAGAGGGGGACATGCCAGCCTGGGTGGGGGACTTCTGCGCAAGGCCAGGACCTGGGACAGAGGCCCTCCAGGCCGTTTTCGGTGAGCCGTCCTCAGCAGCTGTGGGCAGAGCCTGGGAGAGGTGAGGGAGGATGTGTGGAGTTCTACCTCCCCAGGGCACCACCGGCAGGTACACGTATGCAAATGAACGTGCCCCGTATGCAAATGAACGCATGCTATGTAGGGGAACTGCCACACATGCAAATGCCAGCACACACAGGCAAACGCTGCAACCCATATGCAAATGAGCTCACGGTATACTCCTCCCCACGCACACATCCAGGCCAGTGCTGCACCCCCTGTGCAAATGGGCACACACACGCAAACTGATGGGCACATACCCGCACGCACACGCAAGTGTGCTTCCTCCCATGCCAATGCAAGCGCAGGCACACAAATGCTCAAGCACACAGGCAAATACATGCACACATGCAAATGAGTGCCATGCACACCGACCCCTCACTTCCAGCTCCCCTCCCCACCAAGCTGTGTTGTCTTACCTGGAGTGATGAGGGGCGGGGCGTCTCCTGTGCCAGGACTGGGGAAATCAAAGAGGTTCAAATCCATCTCCTCTCCCATCTGGCTGTCCATCTGTCCTCTCCCTGTCCTAGCTGGTTCAAGGCTAGGCAATTCTCAGTCCATCCACACAATGGCTACTTTTCCCTTGTGGATTTACCCAGAGCTGGGATGGGACCATTTCTGAGTTTGGAGACTCTGGGATTTTTTTTTTTTTCTTTTCTCTACCACTTGAGTCCCAGCTCTATTTCCAGCATTGTGCTGGCTCACTGGAGATGAGTCCCAGAGACTTTCCTGACCAGTCTGGCTTTGAACTAAGATCCTCAGGTCTCAGCCTCCTGGGCAGCTAGGATGTCAGGTGGGAGCCATGGGTGCCTTGCTGGCTTCCCTGTCATCCAGGATTTGGGGGAAGTGTGATTTTTCCCAACGTTTTCATACCCAGAATCCACCTTACCTGGGCTTCTGTCTGAATTTGCATTTGCATTTTCCACCTGTTGGGGGAAGGAAGGGTGGTCAGGAGAGCAGACTCCTCCCCATCTGTCATGCAACTCTCCTGCTCCCAGATCTGTGTGTTAGTTGTTATTTCTATGGGTTGTGGGGCTTGAACTCTAGGCCTGGGCACTGTCCCTCAGCTCAGCAGCTCAAGCCACAGCCCTGCTTCCAGTTTTCTGGTGGTTCCTTGGAGATAAGAGTCTCACAGACTTTCCTGCTTGGGCTCTCTGAACCATGATCCTCAGATCTCAGCCTCCTGAGTAGCTGGGATGACAGGTGTGAGCCACCAGTGCCTGACTGGAGCTAGGGCTGGTACTCACTCAGGAGGATGATGATGCCCAGGGCGCACAGGACCCCCGCACAAATAAGCCCGCCGACTCGAAGACTGTGCCAGTCTAGGGAAAAAAAATGGCAGAAGGACACTTCAAGGTCAACCCAGTCTCCACCAACCCAAATTCTCAGGGCCTCCTGGGAGTCGTAGCAATGAGAGAGCAGGTAAGGCAAGTGTTCACAGGCAGGTTTACACCCCCAAACAAACAAAAGTATGTCTTGTCGAGTCAGGCAGAGATAAGCAATCAGCTTGAGGGCAAAAGGTAGAGAAGGAGGCTTCTAGAACGGACCCTTTGAGACCTTCTGATTTGTCAGGAATGATTTGCCAGAGGCCAGCAAAGGAATCCTGTGTGGATTTGGGAGAAAGCAGTTGGAGCAGAAGAACTAGCAGATACAAAGGCCCTGAGGTCAGTGGCCCTGGGCTGGGCCACAGGAGGCCATAGTGGCTAGAACAAGGGTGAGAGGTTCTGGGAGGGGGGAGGGGATGGCAGGACCCCAGGGGATGATCAGTGGAACTTGGTGGGGGAGGGGCAGAAGCCAGTCAAGGCAGGTTCTTCCCAGCCCCAGGAAGCTTTCTTAAGTCTACCATCTACTTATCCAGTCTTCTTCAAGGCCTGATGACCACCTCTAGAACAAGTCCCGGGGTCCCAGCCCAGCCCACCCCGCCTGCAGCCCTTGAAATAATGTGGGTTTGTAGGAGGCAAAGTGGGGGGATGGAGGGACACAAATTCTCACCATAGTAGAAGGGGCTGTTTTTATCTGCAAGGAAAAAAAAAAAAAAAGACCCATGAATCCAGTCGTGGGCGGGGGAAGCCTCCAAGGGAAAGTTCCAGAGAAAGAAAAAACATTCAAACTCACCTTCAGGATCATTAGCATCCAGGGCAGGCAAACCTGGGGAGGGGGGACAAGCAGGAAGGAGGAGAAATGATAATGGTGGCCGCAGCAGAGCCCATAGGCCCTGAGCATCCACGGAGGGCCTCCTTGAAGGAGGGGAGAGGAGAGGAGGACAGATCCTACCTCAAGGGAACAGAGCAGCTGCCACAGTGCCAGCCATCACGCCCCCCAGCCCCACACCTGTGAGTCACCGCAGATTTTTGCTACCTGAAATAGGTAGTAAATTTGTTCCATTTGTTTCTAGACCCAAGGCCAATCCAGGCCTCCTAACAGAGACCAGGGGGAGAGACAGATGGTTCCCATTCTTAGGGAATCTGTTTCCCTCCCCACCCTCACACCACCCCGCCATTGCTAGCTGGGCCCCTCCAAAATGAGTCACTTTCCTGACCTTCAATCCCCTTTCACGCAAGACGTGACTTTGTTTACCCCAGCCTCCTCAGTGGAATTATATTAAAAACACAAAACAAGGGGCTGGGAAGGTGGTCAGTGGTAGAATGCTTGCCTTGCATGCATGAGGCCCTGGGTTTGATTCCTCAGCACCACATAAACAGAAAAAGCCAGAAGTGGCGCTGTGGCTCAAACGGTAGAGCACTAACCTTGAGCTGAAGAGCTGAGGGACAACGCCCAGGCCCAGAGTTCAGGCCCCACAATTGAATCCCAAAAATAAATAAATAAAATATATATGTAGCCAGGCACTGGTGGCTCACGCCTGTAACCCTAGCTACTCAGGAGGCTGAGATCTGAAGATCATAATTCAAAGCCAGCCCCGGCAGGAAAGTCTATGAGACTCTTATCTCCAATCAACCATCTGAAAACTGGAAGTGGCGCTGTGGCTCAAGTGGTAGAGCGCTAGCCTTGAGCTGAAGAGCTGAGGGACAGCGCCCAGGCCCAGAGTTCAAGGCCCACAACTGACTAAATAAATAAATAATATATATATATATATGTATGTACACACACACACCTACATATACACAGACATGTAAATTCTGTCAAGCCCGTGCTGGGGCACAGGCCTGTAATCCCAGCTATTCAGGAGACTGAGATGTGAAGATTAAGGTTCAAAGCCAGCCCCTCAATGTGTGTGGGGGGGGAGCCTCCAAAAGTTCTATGAGATTCTTTTTGTTTTGTTTTGTTTTTTTGGGGTCCGGTCATGGGGCCTGAACTCTGGGCCTGGGCGCTGTCCCTCAGCTCTTCAGCTCAAGGCTAGCACTCTACCACTTGAGCCACAGCGCCACTTCTGGCTTTTTTGTTTCTGCTTATGTGGTGCTGAGGAATCGAACCCAGGGCCTCAGGCATGCAAGGCAAGCGCTCGACCACTGAGCCACCTTCCCAGCCCCAGTTCTGTGAGATTCTTATCTCTAGTGAACCAGTCAAAAGCCAGAGGTGGCACTGTGGTTCATGTAGTAGAGCACCAGCCTTGAATGAAAAGATGTCAGGCAGGAGGGGGAGGAGGCCCTTGGTACATACAAGGTAGAGCCAGACGGGGGCAAACCTGCATGGCCTCAGAAAATGAAGACACCTCCTTTCACCTCTGGAGGGAGGGGGTGGCTCAGTGCAGCGTGTGGGGGTCACTCACCTGCCAGGATGATGAGCATGCTCAGGGCCGCCTCCCGCATGGCGGAATACAGATCTAAAGGAACCCAGAAAATGGGCCCTCGCTTTAGCAGAGCCGGCAGCCTGGGGCCTGGTTTCCCTGGGCTGAGAGATAAAGAGGAACCCCAACTTTTAGTGTGTGTGTGTGTGGTGGGGTGTTGGTAAGTGATCAGGATTAGCAGGGCCTCGGGGTGTTTTTGTTGGGGGGGGAGGGGAAGGAGGCAGGCCCAGATTCTGGGGTGTGTGTATGTGTCTCCCACAGACAGTTTGGAGCCTGCCTGGCTTGGCCCCACTCCTGGATGGGGTCTAGTGGGCACCCCAGGCCGCGGTGCAGGGGGGAGGGGGGCCAGCTGGCTGGAGGCTGGAGGCTGGAGGCTGGGGAGAGGCCTGGCTGCGATCCCAGGTGCATCTTCCCTCTCATCTACCCACCACCACCTCCCCCCTCCCCCAGTGCCAGCCTGAACCCCCTTCTGCCCCATCCAGGCCCCCCAGCTCCACCTGGCTGGTCCCCTCCGCTTCTCCCAGCCGGGCCTGGCACTGCGTCTGCTCAGCTGCCACCAGGGCCCCATGAGAAGCCAGGTTCTGGGCCCAGCCCACGCCATTCCCCACTGCTCCCCACCATCCAGCCCCCAGGACCCCCAGGCTCCCCTTCCACCTGCCAGGGCCAGCACATACTCGGGGGTGCCCTGTGTGCTCCCCATGGACGCCTCAATCTCCCTCTGCCTGTTCATCCTTGCGTGTGTGTGTGTGTGTGTGTGTGTGTGTGTGTGCGTGCACGCATGTGCGTGCGTGCAGTCATGCGCCCATACTGGGGTTTGAACCCAGGGCCTGGGCACTGTCCCTGAGCTTCTTTTCTGCTCAAGGCTGGTGCTCTACCACATGAGCCACGGTTCCACATCCGACTTTCTGCTGCTTAGAGACCAGAGTCTCCCGGCCTCCCTGGTGCCCCTCGGGCATGGCCGCTGGCCTCGGCTCTCAGCTCCCGAGCGCCTGGGACGGCAGGCGTGTGCAGCCGCACCAGGCCTGCTGCCAGCCGTGCTTGGAAGATCCGAGACCCCATTCCCACAGCCACACCCCAGAGCTCGAGACTCAGAGGTGGGGGTGCCAATGCACCCCCAAATCTCTAATCCACACTATCCATCGCAGAGCCCCCAGGCAGCACCCCATTTCCTAGCAGTCTCCAGCACCCATCTTCCCACTCCTAGACCCCCAAGTTCACTTCTCACCCAACAAGACACCCCAAAACACCCTAAAATACCGCTTAGCTACCAACCAGACACCCCCAAACACCAGAAAATACCACTCAGATACCAACCAGATACCCCCAAACACCCTAAAATACCCTTCAAATACCCCCATCATCCAGACAGCACCCCCAAATCCAGACACCTCCGGTCATTCTCACATCACCCGCACCCCACTCAGGGCTCACCCCTAATGTCTGTCCTGGGCCCCCCCAACACGGTGGGACCTTCTCCAGTCTCCAGCCTGGAGAAGTCCGGAACCTTGAAGGTTAGAACATTCTAGAATCTTGAACCAAAGGCCTTCTGTGTGGCCAGGTTGGTGGGGCGCAGGGAGAGGGAACGTGGGGGGAAGCCGAGGGGGGCTGGCGGGGAAGGGCTCACCTGTGGGGCTCACCGGGCTGCACCGCTGGTTCTCCAGAGACTGAGTCACCCCAGGCCCTAAGCCAGACTATCCACAGCCGCGCCCTGAGCAAACCAGCAAACCCGGGCAGGTAGAGGACAGGTCCGGGGCTCAGGCCTCCCCCACCCCATTCCTGTCTTAAAGAGACAGCTCCGAGCCAGGGCTGGAGGCCCACGCCTGCTACCCTAGCTCCTCAGGAGGCTGAGATCTAGAGGATGGTGGTTCAAAGCCAGCCCAGACAGGAAAGTCCAAGAGACTCTTCTCTCCAATGCAGCAGCAAAGAGCCAGAAGTGAAGTTCTGGCTCAAAGGATAGAGCACCAGCCTTGAGCACATAAGCGCCTAGGCCCTGAGTTCAAGCTCCAGGAGCACCCCCCCTTCCCCCAGCCACAGGCGCAGCCTTGGAGAGACAGAGGGAGACGAGGAAGAATTGCCACTTGGGCCAGGCGCCAGTGGCTCACGCCTGTAATCCTAGCTACTCAGGAGGCTGAGATCTGAGGATCCGGTTCAAAGCCAGCCCTGGCAGGAAAGTCCGTGAGACTCTGATCTCCAATAAACCACTCAGAAAACCGGAAGTGGCGCTGTGGCTCAAGTGGTAGAGCGCTCGCCTTGAGCTGAAGAGCTGAGGGACAGCGCCCAGGCCCAGAGTTCAAGCCCCACGACCGACCAAAAAAAAAAAAAAAAGAATTGCCACTTGACTCCCTAGAAAGGGGACTGGCTTCTTCCGAGGTCCTGGGCCCCAAAGGACCCTGAGAAGTGATAGACTGTGGAGCTCAAAGACACCTTGTAAAGAGCTGGCCTCCAGGACTTCCTCTGTGTTGTTTTTTCTTTCTTTGTGTTGGTCCTGGGGCTTGAACTTAGGGCCTGGGTGCAGTCCCTGAGTTGTTTTTTTTTGTTTTTTGATTTTCACTCAAGGCTGATGCTCTACTACTTGAGCCACAGCTCCACTTCTGGCTTTTTACTGGTTCACTGGAGATCAGAGTCTCATGGACTTTCCTGTCTGGGTTGGCTTTGAACCATGATCCTCTAAATCTCAGTCTCCTGAGTGGCTGGCATGGCAGAGTGGGCTGGTGCCTGCAGCTAGCTGACATGCTTTTAAAGCCAGTAGGAGATGCTGATCAGATCCGGGATGTGAGATCTAGGATCTCTAAAACCACAGCCCCCACCCTTGGCTCACACTTGTCATCCCCGCTACTCAGGGAGGCTGAGATCTAGAGGATCACATTTCGAGTCCAACCCCAGTCAAGAAAAGTCCATGAGACTCTTCTCTTCAATGGACCACCAAAAAGCCAGAAGTGAAGTTATGGCTCAAATGGTAGAGCACCAGCTTTGAGCAAAAAATGCTGAGGGACAGCGCCTAGGCCTTGAGTTCAAGCCCCAGGACTGGCATACACCTAGGGCTTGTTCCCCAGCCCCTGCCCCGCTCCCTGTGGGGCCCTGCTCACGGCATTCCTTCCTGCTGGGGTCTGTGCTCATGTCCCTGCTGGGGGTGCTCCCCCCAATTCCGCCCTTCTTAGACAGAGGGACTTTTGTCCCCGGGGCTGGATGGAGAACAAGGCAGCATTGAATGGCTGGCAAGAATTGGGGTCACGGGGAGGGACAGGGGCAGGAAAGGGGCAGCTCCAGGCTGGCCACCAGCTGGACTCCAGACGACCCCCCAAAAGCATGGTGGGGGCAGAAAGGCAGCCAGGGGCAGCCGGGCGGGGGTGCTGGAGGAGGGGACTGGAGGGGGGGTGAAGACTCTGCCTGCCAGGGATGTGGGAGCAAAGGACCCCCACTTTTGCACGAGGGAGGAGGGGGGAGCAGGCACAGCTGCCCCCCCATTTACACTGAGTTCTATTTTGTAAGCTCCCTCAGGCAATTTCTCAACCCCATCCCTAGACAAGGACTGCACCTGTAGTTGCTCTCTTTAAGAGCGGGCAGATCCTTCTCCAAGGAGATCAAAACACAGGAAGGAAAAACCCTGGGAAGGGTGGGGAAAAAAGGAGGAAGGACCAAGTCAGCTTCAAAGGGGTCTTTGTGCCTGGTCAGACAGCTCCAGCTTGAATGTCCCTGGGAGAAGCACACACCACCCCCCTCTGTCCCCCCCCCCCCCAAAAAAAACCCCACAACACTGGGGGTCTCGGGAGTAGTGGTGCATTGTCCCCCTCTGCTGGAGCAATATGGAAGTGCAGCACAGTCTCTCGCTTAACATTGAGAAGAAAGCCTTTCTTCCTGGCTGCTGAGGCTCATGCTCTACTATTTGAACCACAGCTCCACGTCTGGCTTTTTGCTGGTAGATTGGAGATGAGAGTCTTACGGACTTTCCTGCTCTTGTTGATTCTCAGTTCTCAGCCTCCTGAGTAGCTAGGATGACAAGCGTGAGCCACTGGCGCCCAGCTTGAAAAACATTCTTCACAATGGATTCATCTCAAGTGTGATAACTCCTTGGTCAGGCACCTTCCTTAAGCCAGGCATGGTTTAGGGCGACACAGTTGGGCCACAAATGAAGAGAAAAGGTTCTCATAACCCCACTGATTTTTTTCTTTTTGTGACCTCCCTTCCCAAGCAAACAAGGCTCCTTTCCTGGGCCTCAGTTTCCCCAGGTGTACAAAGGAGCAATAATAGCAAGTAGCTGGCAATTCACCTGGTGGCTCACACCTGTCAGCCTCGCTATTTGGGAGGCTGAAATCTGAGGATCTCAGTTTGAGGTCAGCCCAAGCAGGAAACACTGAGACTCTTAACTCCAATGAACTATCGAAAAGCTGGAAGGAGAGCTGTGACTCAAGTGGTAGAGCGCCAACCTTGATTGAGCTAAAGCTCGGGTCAGCGCCCAGACCCTGAGTTCAATCCTGGGACCAACAAGCACACAACAACAACAATAATAATAATCCGGTGATTGCCAGGCAGGGCGGGCTTTCAGATTCAGTGGGGAGCACTATGTGGGTGATTAACTGGGAATCTGCTCCCCTTACAGGAAGGGGGTGAAATGGAAGGGGCGGAGTTGGGTGTTTTCTAACACAAGTAACAAAGGAACTCTTGTAAGTTAGCCAGGCCTTCCGGCAACCAGCACAGATCCACCCCTGAAATAAACGTCCCTGGTCTCACAGGAGAAGTTAACCACAGCAGATACATTCTTTGGAGATAGTTGTAATAAGAAAAACGGATGGGGGGGGCTGGGAAGGTGGCTCAGTGGTAGAGTGCTTGCCTTGAATGCATGAGGCCCTGGGTTTGATTCCTCAGCACCACAAAAGCAGAAAAAACCAGAAGTGGGGATGACGCTCGAGTGGTAGAGCACTCGACTTGAGCTGAAGCGCTGAGGGACAGCGCCCAGGCCCAGAGTTCAGGCCCCACAACCAGCCAAAAAAAAAAGAAAAACTGATGGGGTATATGAGGAGATGGACCCCCCACTTTACCCTCTCTCCCCGCTTAGCAGCTGTGAGCGCTGGTCGGCCAGCATGAAGTCATCAATTGATGGCTCTTGAAAATGGGGTCAGCTGGGCGCTGGTGGCTCACACCTGTCATCCCAGCTACTCAGGAGGCTGAGATCTGAGGATCGTGGTTCCAAGCCAGCCAGGGCAGGAAAGTCTGTGAGACCCTTCTCTCCGATCAGCCACCAGGAAACGGGAAGTAGCGCTGTGGCTCAAGTGGTAGAGCACTAGCCTTGAGCTGAAGAGCTCAGGGACAGTGGCTAGGCCCAGAGTTCAAGCTCCACACCACACACACACACACACACAGGGGCAAGATGGGAAATACAGACATTTCAGGATGAAGTTGGGGGAGGCTGGATAAGGAAGGAATGAATGAGGGCCCTGATTTGAGCAAAGCAGGGCTCCAAGTGTCCCTAGCAATGAGAGATCTGGATTGCTTGGGGTTTTTTTTTGGGGGGGTGGGTCCAACTGAGGGCCTTGCACTTGCTAGGCAGATACTCTACTACCTGAGCCATGCTTCCAGCCCCCCTCCCTTTGTTTTTGCATTGGTTATGTTGGAGGTAAGATCTCGCTTTATGGCTGAAGGTCAGCTTGAAGCACGATTCTCCTACTTGTGTCTCTGGGGCTAGCAGACACATGCCATTGTACCCACATACCATGCTTCCCACGAGCTGGGATATCAGGCCTGCACTGCCATGTCTAGTCAGTAATTGAGTTGGAGTCTTAGGGGAAAAAAAAAAAACAAAACTTTTTTTTTGCCCTAGTGACCTCAAACTATAATCCTCCAATCTCTGCCTCCAAGCTAAGTACAATTTCAGGGCAATAAGGGGTTCCAATCAGCTGGGAAGGATGGGCATCTTAGCTTGCCAAGGGCTGGGGGGGTCCTTCGTGGGAGCTGGCACGGGAGGAGGTAGGTGCAAGTCTCTGCTGTACCCCAGGCAGACTCTGTGTAAGGGCGGAGCTGGCTACCGGCCAGCCGGGCATCTAGCATACCACGGCTGATGCCGTGCAGGAGTGTCAGAGGTAAGTCTGGGCAGAGGACATGTGCTAATCGTGCCAGGGCCACTGGCGAGGAGCCCAGAGCTATTCATCAAAGTGAACGGAGCTGGCCCATCCAAGACCTGCCCCGGCAGGCTCAGTGTCTGAGGCTCCAGTCTCTCTTTCTCTGGTCAGTTGTGGGGCTTGAACTCATGACCTGGGCCCCTGTTCCTGAGCTCTCTCGCTCCAGGCGAGTGCTCTACCACTTTGAGCCACAGCACCACTTCCCGTTTTCTGCTGGTTCATTGGAGATAAAAGTCTCAGGGACTTTCCTGCCCGGGCTGGCTTCAAACCACCATCCTCAGATCTCAGCCACCTGAGCACTAGCCTTGAGCAAAAGAACTCAGGGACCGTGCCCCAGGACCCGCACACATACAAAACAACAACAACAAAAGTTGGAAAAACTGCTTAGTGCTCTTGACCAAGTCTGTTTGGCAGCAGGACCAGGACAGGGGACATAGACATTAGTCCCTTGGGCATCAGACAGCACCCATTGCCACAGCAAATGTGACCCCAGCCTCTGCCAGGCGGTCTCCCTGGGGGCTGAGCCAGGATCAGGCAGTTGGAGAATGACGCTATCACAGCCAGTGATGGCTGAAGACAGCCAATCAGAGGCTCAGAGGCACAGTGAGTGGCTGTGGGTGAGACCTGGGGCTCTTCCTGTCTGGAGGAGGAGCCAGCCTTGGGGAGCATCTCAGAGGGATGGGGGGGTGGGGACCCATAGAAATGAAGGCCTGACTGAGCTAGCCAAGACACCCACTCTTAGCACATTAATTATGTAAGGCGGCTGATGCGGTTTTCTGTAAGCAGCAAACAGAAGGATGCTAGGAGGGCAGGGCCCAGGGGAGGAATCAGGCCTGGGGCAGCTCAGTGTCTTCAGGGATGCTCAGGAAGGCCACGCCCCTGGCCCTGCTGAGGAAGCCACGCCCCTGTCAAGACTGGGGGTTTAAGCCACGCCCCTGGCTCTGCTGGGGAAGTCAGGCCTCTGGCCAGGCTGGGGAGGCCAGGGGAGGCTCTGACAATACAGGAGAGGCCAGGTCCCTGGCCTTGGGGGAAAAGCCATGCCCCTGACAATACTGGGGAGGCCACGCCCCTGGTCTTGCTGGGGAGATAATCCCTAACTCTCCAGGGGGGTAGCCATGACCCTGGACTGCCCCAGGATGGACTGTGTTCCTTCAGAGAAAGGACTGAGGTGGAGGCTGGAGGCCTGGCCTGGCCAGGGGTCCTGGGAGCTCCATACCCATCCATCTGGCTGAGGCTTAGTGGGGCCTGGGGGTGAAGAGTTGAGTGAGCAGGGAGGGAGGAGACATGGTTAGGAGCTTCCCTAATGAGCAACCTTAGCCCAAGTACCCAGAGCCTCTGAAGAGCTCATCTCTGTCCCCCATTCACAGCAAACAGGGAAACTGAGGCACTGCTTGGCAGAAGCTAAGTCTGGGAGCGTCAAAGGCAAGAGGCTGTGGAACACTGACTGTGGAGTCCTGGGCCACACTGTGAGAAATGCACAAGTCCTGGGGCAGCCATGATGGGAGGAAGCTCAAGTCACTCACCAAGATGAGTCGGGAGTCCCAGGGGCCCCAGCATGCAAGACTTCCAGCCCACAGGTCAGATTCTTCCCTCCCCTGCACTTTCCCCCAGCTGGTCACGTGGGGCAGGCATACAAGCCCTGTCCAACTTAAGTCTTAAGTCATAGACTCCATTAAGCTCTAATAAAATGGCTGTTATTTTACACTGCTGGAATCCAGGGCGGTTTGTTTGGTCGCCATAGGGCAAAAGAATGGCTCATTTAGTTAAGTGCGTTATTAAAACAGCATTGCTTTTTTTCTAATGCAGGAATTACAATCCATCTCCCTGCCCACTCTGCTATTTGAACATAACTCCACGATTATTCCCGCATATAAAATGAATGGTTTTCACACTCCTGGTTAATCACAGTGGTTGTTCCTATTTACAATGTAATTACCAAGGAAAGAGAAACTGCACATTTCTCTCCCAAGGCTCCGAGGTGAGAATGGCAGGCACTGGATAAACACCCGCAGAGCACTCACTTCCCAGCGGCAGGTACAAAGCCAGCACAGACACCAGCCCCTGTGTGCACCGGATACAGCCACGCTCGCCCTACAGATGATTGAAACTTCAAATTCAAGTATACAGAGACATGGCCTTTCCTGCCTGGGGTGGCTTTGAACCTGAGTAGCTAGGATTACATTCAGTCTTTTTTTTTTTTTTTTTAATCGGTCATGGGGCTTGATTTCAGGGCCTGGGTGCAGTCCCTAAGTTTTTAAGCTCAAGGCTTGTACTCTATCATTTGAGGCACAGCACCATTTCTGCTTCTTTTTTCTTTCATTCTTTTCTTTTTTTGCGATTTCACTGGCCATAAAAGTCTCCTGGCTGGGCATCAGCGGCTCATGCCTATAATTCTAGCTACTCAGGAGGCGGAGATCTGAGGATCATGGTTCAAAGCCAGCCAGGGCAGAAAAGTCTATGAACTCTTACCTCCAATAAACCACTCAGAAAACCAGAAGTAGAGCTGTAGCTTACATGGTAGAGCATTCACCTTGAGCTGAAGAGTGTAGGGATAGCACTCAGGCCCAGAGTTCAAGCCCCATGACCAAAAAACAAAAAAGTCTCCTGGTCTTTCTTGCCCTGAGCTGGCTTTGAACTGTGATTCTCAGATCTCAGCCCATTGAGTAGCTGGGATTATAGGTATGAACCACCAGCACCCAGTTTGGATCTCTGTATATTTGAGGGTCTCTCTAGGAAGCAGGTGTTTTGGTGGATGAGCCTGGAATCTTATCATTTAAAGGCCTGAGATATGCCTACCACTGGCAGGAAAGTCTCCCGTGTCTCCAATTACCACCTAGAAAACCGGAAGTGGCTCTGTGGCTCTGTGGCTCAACGTGGTAGAAGTTCTAGTCAAGCAGAAAAGCTCAGGGACAGCACCCAGACCTTGAGTTCAAGTCCCATGACCAACTGTCATAGGCAAGCATTTTTCCCACAAAGCACTGGTTTTCATCAACCCTATGCAGAAAAACCTTTTTTCAGTAGAGGTGGAAGCGCCTCCTGGTGACCATCCATGTCATTACAACAATGTGTCTTAAACCAGACACCAGTGGCTCACATCTATCACGCAGCTACTTCAGGAGGCTGAGATCTGAGGAAGCAGGTTTAAAGTCAGCCTGGGCAGGAAGTCCATGAGACTTATCTCTAATGAACTTGCAAAAAGCTGGAAGTGGAGCCCAAGTACAGCACTAACTAGCCTTGAGCAAAAAATCTCAGGGATAGTACCCAGGCCCTGAGTTTAAGCCCCAGGACTGGCTCCAAAAATAAATAAATAGAGGGCTGGGAAGGTGGCTCAGTGGTAGAGTGCTTGCCTTGCAAGCCGGAGGCCCTGGGTTCGATTCCTCAGCACCACATAAGCAAAAAGAAAAAAGCCGGAAGTGGGGCTGTAGCTCAAGTGGTAGAGTGCTAGCCTTGAGCTGAAGAGCTGAGGGACAGCGCCCAGGCCCAGAGTTCAAGCCCCACGACCAGACCCAAAAAAAAAAAAAATAATAAAATAAATAAATAAATAGATAAATGATCTGTGAATGTTCCAGAAAAAGCAGAGAAGGAGGATGGGTAGAGGTGTGGGAGGCTCAAGCCCAGATGGAGGGAGAAAAGGGCAGACGGGGTCTCTGGCTGTGCCTGTGTTGGCCCCAAGTAGATGTCCCTACACTGGGCATCTTTTCTAGAAATGTGTGCCTTTTCCAGAAATAAGTTTTCCTTTAGACATCTTCCCATCTTCAGCTTATGTGGTTTTCAAACTCAGTGTCCCCCACCATGCTATAAACCAGGTACACAAAGATTTGATGAGAGGATCACATGACCCATACCTGTCCAATGAGAGCTCCATCACATGACCCAAATATATCCAATGAGAGCAGGGTCTCCTTGGATATTTTTACCCTCCTGGCCTATAAGACTTGGAATTTACAGGGAGGTAGGTGTGTGTGTGTGTGTGTGTGTGTGTGTGTGTGTGTGTGTGTGTGTGTGTGTGTGCTGGGAAGATGGCTCAGTAGTAGTCTGCTTGTGTGTGTGTGTATGCTGGGAAGGTGGCTCAGTGGTAGAGTGCTTGCCTCACATGCATGAGGCCCTAGGTTTGATTCCTCAGCACCACATAAACAGAAAAAGCTGAAAGTGGCGTTGTGGTTCAAGTGGTAGAGGGCTCGCCTTGAGCTGAAGAGCTAAGGGGCAGCACCCAGACCCTGAGTTCAAGTCCCATGACCAAAAAAAAAAAAGAAAAGAAATGGATCAACCAGGTGCCTGTGGCTCACACCTGTCATCCTAGCTACTCAGGAGACAGAGATCTGAGTATCGTGGTTCAAAGCTAGCTCTGGCAGGAAAGTCGATGAGACTCTTAGTTCCAACTAGTCCCTGGAAAACCAGAAGTGGCACTGTGGCTTAGAGTAGTAGAGCACTGGCCTTGAGTGATAAAGCTCAGGGACAGTGCCCAGGCCCTGAGTTCAAGCCCCACAACCAACACGAAACAAAAAAAGATCAGACAACAGTTGGATCCAGCTGAAACCTGATCCAGGTATTTCCAATGAATCAACCAGCTAAAAACTTTTATTCTCTTAAGTCGACAATTGGGAGATCAAATTTCCTGCCTGCTTCATGCCAGTCCCCTAATTCTTCTCTTCCCCTCTCCCCACAATTTCCTCACTGCTGCTTACATTTGCGAATGCGGAGACCACGTTAATCAAAACCATCTTTATTATTTAAAGAGCATCCTGTCACCAGGGTCCCCTAAACAAGGGTTCCCCAGAGGGCAGAATAATATTTACACATGGTGCGTGGGGAGGCGTGGCTGGCTGGGGGGGGGCCCGCCACTATGGCACACGAGGAGCTCAGAGGGGGTCCTTGGACCCGTAGACTGGGCTCGAGAAGAAACATGGGCCATCCTGGACTCTGTGTGGTGCCAACCACAGGCAGCCAGGGCAGCCACACGCAGGCCAGCGTGGGCGCTGGAGACACGGGCAGCACGGAGATACCACAGGTCAGAGGTGGCTCAGTATGCCGCTGGCTTCGGAGTGAGTCTGGGGAGAGACGGCTGCAGGCTGTGGTGTGCTGAGCACCCCCTCCCCAAGATCCACAACTAATGCCCCTTCTGGATGCCCCAGAATTTCTGCCTCTGTGGTAGACCCACAAAACTTCCCACAGGGGCCGGTGGCTCACACCTGTCAGCTACTCAGGAGGCTGAGATCCGAAGATTGTGGTTTGAGGCCAGCCTGAGCAGGGGAGTCTGTGAGACTCTTATCACCAAGGAACCGGCCAAAAGCCAGAAGTGGAGCTGTGACTCAAAGGGTAGAGTGCTAGCCTTGAGTGAAAAAGCTCAGGGACAGCGTCCAGGCCCTGAGTTCAAATCCCAGGACTGGCATAAGAAACCGAAAACACAGCCGCTGCCTTCTACTGGGCCTGGCTCACCTTAATGGCCTGGAAGATCCACTCTCGGAAGTCCATGACTTTGGTGTAGACTCCTGGCTTCTGAGCTAAGGCGCAGCCGGTGCCCCAGCTCACGATGCCGCACAGGCGCCAGCGCGGGGCTCGCGAGATGCTGTCCTCACACACGAATGGCCCGCCACTGTCCCCCTGCGGGGAGGGGAAGCGCGCTGGAGGCCCAGAGGGGAGGGATGGGGGGGGGCTCCCTCCAACTTTGAGAAGGGCGGCCCTCCCTGCTCACCTGGCAGGCATCCACGCCCCCCTCGGGGTAGCCGGCGCAGAACATCTTGGGTTTGATTTGGTTTCCATAGAAGTCGGGGCCGTTGCAGACATCGTTGCTGATTATGGGGACCCGGGCCTCCTGCAGCACCCGAGCCTGCTGGCCTGGGGGGGGGGGGGCGCGAGGCTAGAGGGAGCTGGGGGAACCAGCCTGCCCCCTCCCTCGGGTTCTGCCCCCTTGTACCCCAGAGGGGGACCCCAGAGCTACCAACCTACCAGAGTGTTTGCTCTCCTTTTCCTTCCTTCCCTCTCTCTCTTCCACCTTCCTTTTTCTTTCACTGACCCCCAGGACTTGAACTCAGGGCCTGGGCACTGTCTTTAACTTTTTCACTGAAGACTGGTTGCTCTACCACTTGAGCCACAATTCCACTTGCAGCCTTTTTTCCTTTTTCGGATGGTTACTTGGAGATAAAGAGTCTCACAGACTTTCCTGCCCGGGCTGGTTTCAAACCACAGTGCTCAGACCTTAGTCCCCTGAATAGCTAGGATGACAGGCATGAGCTACTGGCACTTTGCCTGCCTTCCTCCCTCCCTTCCTTCTCTCTCTCTCCCTTCCCTGCCCCTCCCCGTGCCGGGCAGGCACAGGGCACAGGGCACAGGCAGGACTCACCGTAGTACTGCATGTTTCCCCAGCCGGTCACTGTGCAGATCTTGCCGTCCACCAGGTCCTGGCCGGCCGCGGGGAGACACACAGGCTGGATGTATTCTGTGAGAGAGGCCCCAGCCCCGGGCTGACCTGCTGCAGGCGGGGTGAACCTGTCCATCTGCAGCTCATACCCTCCAACCCCGCCATGGGAAATCAGGGAAATTGAGGCAGGAGAAAGAGCAGCCAGGAAGTTGGAAACTGTATTAGTGAGAAGCTTCATTAGAACATCCGGCTATCACTTTCTTGGTTTTGTGTGTGTGTGTGTGTGTGTGTGTGTGTGTGTGTGTGCGCATGCATGCACATGTGTGTGTGTGTGTGTGCGCATGCGCGCACGCATGTGTTGGTCCTGGGGCTTGAACTCAGTGCCTGGGCGCTATCCCTGAGCTTTTCTTGCTCAAGGTTGGTGCTCTACCACTTGAGCCACGGGTCTATTTCCGGCTTTTTGGTGATTCACTGGAGATAAAGGAGCCTACAGACTTTCCTGCCCAGGCTGGCTTTGAACCCTAATCCTCAGATCGCAGCCTCCTGAGTAGCTAGGGCAGGCGTGACCGACTCACCCGTGAGGGGCAGGGGGCTGGACAGGTGGACAAGAGCGATATCGTTGCTGTTCTCTCCGCTGTTGGGGTCTTGAAAGGGAAGGTAGCCCCCGTGGTAGATGACAGCCCGCACCCCCAGTTGCACGCCATGGGGGGAGCCCTGGGCCACAGCCCCAGCAAATACTTTCCATAGAGACAGGACTCGGTTCCTCCTGCCAGGCAATGGGAGGGACGGCTGGTGGGCAGCCTGGGCACTGCCCTGCCCCCCCCACCGGCTGGCGCTGCGCGGGGCACTCACTCTGGGAAGCAGTGGGCAGCGGTTAGCACCCAGTCTCCAGATAGCAGGGACCCCCCGCACAGGTGCGCCCCGTCATAACGCAGGCTGACCTGCCACGGCCACCGGCCCAGGCTGCTGTCCTGGCCGCCCACGATGCGGTCCACGGGCAGCTTCCTGCGGCCACAGTCTGTGCCAGAGGGGTGTGGGTCAGTGGGGGAGGGGGGACGGGGAGGTGGAGGCCTGCGTCTGGTCCCAGGGGATCTGAGACCACAGGTTCCCCCCCCCCCCGGGCAGATTGAGGGGACACAGCCTTGTTGTTGGGGGGAGGGAGGGAGGGGGTCCTCAGGATGATGGATGCTCTGCCTGGGGCACTGTCCCTGAGCTTTTCTTGCTCAAGGCTGGTGCTCTACCACTTGAACCACAGTGCCACTTCCAGTTTTCTGGTGCTTAATTCGAGGTAAGAATCTCACAGATTTTTGAACTGTGATCCTCAGATCTCAGCCTCCTGAGTAGCTAGGATGACAGGTGTGAGCCACCAGCGCCCCACACAGTCCTCTCTTTGGGGGACCCCAGAGCTCTGTCCCAGGGACACTGAATCATGGGGATGGCGGTGAGGTCCAGGCTCACCTTGGCAGACGGTGGACAGGAAGCGGCCTCTGGGACAGTCGCTGCGGGGCAGGGGAGGGCGACAATGGAGAGAGAGAGAACGCAGGGCAATGAAGGCCTCGGGGGACGGTGGGCGGGCAGGCCCCGGGTCTCCCCGCCCCCGCCCCGCTCACCACACAGAGATGACATCCAGCAGGCTCTGGGCGTGGGGCAGCCGGCCCTCGTCCACGCAGAAGAAGCCCCACGTGCCGTTGGCACCCGCGGCCCTCACGTCCAGCTCGGAATGGACCAAAGCCCTGGGCAGGGCAGGGGTCAGCACCGCTCCATCTGTGTCCCTTCCCCCCCGCCCCCCCCCCCAAAAAAAACCAACCCGTCCGCTTCTGGGGTGCCCAGTACCTGAGAAAGCCCATCTCCTCGCAGCTGAGACTCGCCACCCTGGCGTTGGAGCGGGAGGAGCACAGCAGACGCCACGTCCCCTCCATCCTGTCAAACACCGTGATGCGCGCGTCCACAGGGCTGACCTGCACTGCAGGGCACAAAGGGGGCGCTGGGGCCCAGGTCGCCCCAGACTCGGGGCCCCCCCAGCCTCCCTTCCATGACGATGGCCACAGCACAGGCCTCTTCCCCCAGAGGCTGGGCGCCCAGACAAGCCCTGGGGACACCACGCTCTTGGTTCCCTTGGGTGGGGGAGTGGGGGGTGGACTGGCATGAAAGAACGTTCCAGATTTCCAGAAAGCTCCTTGAAGCCACCCACCCTGAGGAGCCTCCAGAATCACATGAGTTACTAACGGCCCCCTCCCTTTTTTTGGGTGGGTCATGGGGCCTGAACTCTGGGCCTGGGCGCTGTCCTTCAGCTCTTCAGCTCAAGGTGAGCACTCTACCACTTGAGCCACAGCGCCAGTGCTGGTTTTCTGGTGGTTAATTGGAGATACGAATCTCACAGATTTTACTGCCCGGGCTGGCTTTGAACGGTGATCCACAGATCTCAGCCTCCTGAGTAGCTAGGATGACAGGCGTGAGCCACTGGTGCTTGCTACTAATGGCCCCTTTGATCCAGCTGGCTTCTACATTTTTCACTTTGGTGTGTGTGTGTGTACACACGCATGCATACCTGTGTGGAAGACCTGGGGCCTGAACTCGGGCTGGGCGCTGTCTTTAGGTCACTCATGGCTTAGTGCTCTACCCCTTGAGCCACAGCTCTACTGTCAAAGCTTTGTCAGTTCATTGGAGGTAAGAGCCTCATGTCTGTCCCAGTGTTGGCTTCAAACCTTGATCCTCACACCTCAGCCTCCTGCGCAGCTGGGCTTACAGGCGTGCCCAGCTTCCCTTTTTCTTTTGCAGCCTGAAGACTGTTGGCCATCTAAATACTTAAATAAATAACTATGTGGTTGGAGGGGGTGGGGGAAGAGGGAAAAGATGGGGAAGTCCTGGGAGAAGGGGGAGGAGGAGGAAGAAAAAGCAGAAGCAGAAGAAGGTACAGGAGAGAGGAGGAGGAGGAGAAGGAAGAAAAAAAAACAGGAGGAGGAGGAAGAAAAAGAAGAAGAAAGCCAGGGACTGGGAACCCGATTGGGAGGGGGGCTCTTGGGGCTGGCCAGTGGCCACTGGCTGGCAGATCCCTCAGTCCATCCCCCCACGCAGTTGGGGGACCCTTCCTCCCATGTCAGGTCCAACCCCAGCGCCTCTCTTCACACATTTACCAAGCGTGGTGTGATCCAGGCTCTATTTTGGGCAATGACCAAGGCACCACAAGAAGAAACAAATGCAAACTGCTGGGGCTGCTGGGGCTGAGCCTCAGATCCCAGCGGGGAGGTGGGGAAGGAAAGGGACAAATGAGGGACAAATCAGAAAACCCAGTGGTGCTCACCTGGGAGGGGCCCTGAAGCAGGCGGTGTGGGGGAGGGGGCAGAGAAGCCGATGACAGAGGGCAGTGGGGAGAGACGGGGAATCAAGTAGGACACAGGAAACAAACACCGAGAGCAAGCAGCAGCAGAGCCAGGGGTGGGGAGGGGAGGAAGGAGAGAGGGAAGGAGGAAGGGAGGAGGGAAGGGGTAACAGAGGGGAGGAGCAGAGATTTTTGATCTCTTAGCAAGAACAAGTTGCTAGTGGCTCATGCCTGTGATCCTAGCTACTCAGGAGGCTGAGATCTGAGGATCACAGTTCAAAGCCAGTTTGGAGGAGGAATGTCCACGAGACTAATCACCAGAAAACCGGAAGTGGCGCTATGGTTCAAGTGGTAGAGCGCTAGCCTTGAGCTGAAGAGCTGAGGGACAGCGCCCAGGCCCAGAGTTTAAGCCTCAGAACCAACAAAAAAAAAAAAAAAAACAAAACCCCAAGAAGGTGCCATGTCCAAAACACACGAGCCACTGGCCCTCGGCTATATTTTGTGTTTGAGATATGGTCTCCATAATGTGACATTGCCACATTCTTCTTTGAAGCGGCTCTAACTATGTACCCCAGGCTGGCCCTGAACTTCTACCCTTTTACCCCAACTTCCCCTGGAGCACACCGCCATTCTTGGCTCTCCTCCAATTATTTTTAAAACGATGCTTTATGCCACGGGCCTCTCACTTTTCAATTCTTTATTCCTGTCTATATTATTTTAAGCAAGGTAAGAAGTCTGTTCTAGATCACCTGGTGTGCTTCCCAGATTGTGTGATATACTTAGAGCTGTGAAAATCCCAGAAAAAACAAGGTAGGGACAGGGAGAGGGGGTGTTGCTTTTGTTTTTATTTTGTGCTGGTCTTGGGCCTTGAACTCAGCTCTTTCACTCAAGGCTGGCACTCTTATCACGTGAGCCGCAGCTCTACTTCTGGCTTTTTGGGCAGTTAATTAGAGATAAAAGCCTCACAGACTTTCCTGCCCCAGCTGCATTTGAACTACGATCCTCAGATCTCAGCCTTCTGAGTAGCTAGGATGACAGGTGTGAGCTACTGGTACCAGGTCCATTGCTCCATTTGTAAAGTGAAGAGAATGAAAGTCCATGCTCACTGGGTTTGGGGAAAATCTCACGAGATTAGGACCATGGCATGGGTCAGTAATGGAAAGCCAACCTGCCTAGGAAGTGTGAGTTCAGTCCCCAGTACTGCAGGATCACACGTGTATAAACACCATATTGATACATAAGCTAAACAAAAAAGGAACAAAATCGTTTTGTTAACCGGGCAACAGTGCCCAGGCAGTAAAGGCTGTGAGAAATGTATCTCCAATGAACCACCAAAAAGCTGGAAGTGGAGCTGTGGCTCAAGCAGTAGAGCACTAGCCTTGGGCACAAAAGCTCAGGGACAGCTTCCAAGTCCTGAGTTTAAGCCTCAGAACCAGCACAAAAACAAAACAAAATAAAACAAATGTGTGTGTGTGTGTGTGTATATATATATATATATATGTATATATATACAATATACACAAGTAAATAAGTAGATGCAGCATAGAAAAATGAGTAAATAAAAACAAGCAGATAAGTGATTGATGACAGATGAACAAATAAAAACTAGTAAAGGTGCTGGGTGCTGGTGGCTCACACTTGTAATCCTAGCTACTCAGGAGGCTGAGATCTGAGGATCGCAGTTCAAAGCCAGCCCGGGCAGGAAAGACCATGAGACTCCTGTCTCCAATAAACCACCAGAACACCGGAAGTGGCGCTGTAGCTCAAGTGGTAGAGCGCTTGCCTTGAGCTGAAGAGCTGAAGGACAGCGCCCAGGCCCAGAGTTCAAGGCCTACGACTGACAAAAACAAAACCAAAAAAAATAGTAAAGGAGCAAATAGATAAGTGGATAAAAATAACCAATGCAAAAGGGTGCTGTGTGCCTGACTCAAGTCAGGCAAGGCTCAACCTTTAAGAGCATCAACAAAAAAATGAAAATACTTTCACACACATACACAAACATGCACATGCACATGCGCGCACACAGGCCCCCGTCCTCCAGCCCTGTGTACTCACCTGGGTACAGTGGCTGCTGATCACTCCTGAGTAGCGTCACTGTGGAGAAGGTGGAGGTGAGGATGGGCTGGTGGGAGGCCCAGTGTATGTGTGGGGGGAACCAGCCGGGGAGTGGAGGGAGACCCAGCACGGGGGAGGTCAGAGGTAAATACTATGCTCACCAACAGCCCAGGAAGCTGCTCCGATGGCCGTGAGGAGCAGCAGGGTTCCCACGGAGAGCGCAGCCACCTTGGGTCCAGAGCAGCCGTGTACCCTCCGGCCACCTGTAACAGATACCAGGCTGCAGCCACGGCCAGGCCCGGCCCCAGACCTCACCTGGCCCCAGTGTCCTGGTGTCTGTGCTACTCAGAAGGTTGAGATCCAGAGGATTGATGTCCAAAGTTGGCCCAGGCAGAAAACGCACAGGAGACTCCATTTCCAAAATAATCAGTTAAAAAAAAAAAAAAAGCTGAGCTGGAGGCGTGGCTCATGTGGTAGAGTGCCAGCCAAGCAAGCAAGCACAAGCAAGTGTAAGGACCTGAGTTCAAACACTGGCAAAAAAAAAAAAAGGAGAGAGAAAAATAGAGAAATTCAGGATTGGAAACATGGCTCAGGTGGTAGAATACCAGTGAGTGAGTGAAAGCAAATGTGAGCTAGCAAGTAGAAGTCTCAGGCAAAAAAAAAAAAAAGCTCAAGGATCCCTGCCCAGGCCCAGAGTTCTTGCCTGGGCTGGCCTTGAACTATGATGCTCAGAGCTCAGCCTCCTGAGCAGCTGGGCTGACAGATTGTCTTCTGAGTGTTGAGTCAGCATCTTATCTGGGAGTACCCGGATGCCGACACACGATCAGATCTCAAACTGCCTTCCATGTTGTCCCAGATCTGCCGCGCGCAGGCCTGTCTCCAAGGCCCTCATTCCTACTGCTTGGCAGTTGCACAGTCTGACTAGCCCTATCTAACCATTGGGCAGTCTCCCCCTCTGCTCCCCAAGATACAGAAGCCTGGTAATCTGCCTTTCAAGTCCATAGCTTCCCAGTTCCCTTATCGCCCTCAGACTAATATGGCTTTTAGAGATCTGAGGTTTGAACTTGCTTCCTCAAATCCCCAGACAGCAATGTGGGTCATTATCAGACATTTAATAGAACTTCTGCAGAGCAACACAAACCACGGAACTTGTAAAATAACCTATTAAATAGCCGGGCACTGGTAGCTCATGCTTGTAATCCCAGCTACCCAGGAGTCTGAGATTCAAGGATGGAGGTTCAAAGCCAGCCCAGGCAGGGCACTGGTGGCTCATGCCTGTAATCCTAGCTTCTCAGGAGATTGAGGACTGAGGATCGTGGTTCAAAGCCAGCCTGAGCAAGGAAAGTCTGTGAGACACTTATCTCCAATAAACCACCAGAAAACCGGAAGTGGCTCAATGTAGAGCTCTCGCCTTGAGCTGAAGAGCTCAGGGACGGTGCCCAGGCCCAGAGTTCAAGCCCCATGACCAAAAAAAAAAAAAAAAAAAGCCAGCCCAGGCAGAAAAGTCTATGAGACTCTTCTCTTATTAATAAAACAAGCTAGAAATGGAGCTGTGGCTCAAGGGTAGAGCTCCAGCCTTGAACAAAAGAAGGAGTGCTGACTGCAAATCCTGGTACCGCCTCCCAAATCATGATAAAAATAAAATTAAAAACAAAACACAAAGTAACAACAAAACCTAGAAAGGAAGTCATAGCACCAGCGCCATCTGGTGGGGAGACCCTGCACTACCTCGAACCCTCCAACCTTGCGATCAGCCAGTCTCCTCCAACTTCAACTCCAGATATACTAGTGTCCTGTGTGCACATATACTCAGCCCTGCTCTTCCGGCTGCCTGGTCCACTCTAGCTCCTTCCCGCTGGTTCTCTGAGTTGAAACTCAGCTCTCTCTTCTGATCCCAATCCCAGAAGCTTTGGGGGAACCTTGGGTGAATTTCCACTGCACTAAGAAATCTAAAACTAGAAGCTGGTAGCTCACGCCTTAATCCTAGCTACTTAGGAGGCTGAGATTTGAGGACCATGGTTCGATGCCAGCCCAGGGCAAGAAAGACTATGAGACTTTTATCTCCAATTAAGCAGCTTAGTGTTACGGCACTATGGAAAAAGCTAAGTGACATCACCCAGGCCCTGAGTTCAAGACCTAGTACTGATAAATACACAAGAAAAAGAAAATTCCGGGCTGGGAAGGTGGCTGCGTGGTAGAGCGCTTGCCTTGCATGCCTGAGGCCCTGGGTTCGATTCCTCAGCACCACATAAGCAAAAAGAAAAAAATCCGGAAGTGGTGCTGTGGCTCAAGAGGTAGAGCGCTAGCCTTGAGCTGAAGAGCTGAGGGACAGCGCCCAGGCCAAGAGTTCAGCCCCCATGACCAGCAAAAGAAAAGGAAAGGAGCCGGGCACTGGTGGCTCACGCCTGTAATCCTAGCTACTCAGGAGGCTGAGATCTGAGGATTGCGGTTCAAAGCCAGCCCGGGTAGGAAAGACCGTGAGACTCCTATCTCCAATAAACCACCAGAAAACTGGAAGTGGCGCTGTAGCTCAAGTGGTAGAGCGCTCGCCTTGAGCTGAAGAGCTAAGGAACAGCGCCCAGGCCCAGAGTTCAAGCCCCACGACCGATTAAAAAAAAAAAAAAAGAAAAGGAAAGGAAAGGAAAGGAAAATTGCTATTTATACACAAGGAAAGGAAACCCAGAGAGGCCCAGCCACCAATGCCTACTTAGTCCCATCAGGAAAATAGTCCTCAGGATTCCAGCCTCTGCTGTCCACATGCTCAGAGAGCCTGGTTTCATGCGGGACCACAGCTCAGTGATCTGGGGGGAGGGCTCTCAGTGCTACCTGGGTCAAGATCGAGACCCCCTGGAGGAGGCCACAGAGCTGTGCGAATCATTACAGCCACATTTCAATCCTCACACCAGCCAGCACCAGAGGCTCATGCCTATAATCCTAGCTCCTCAGGAGGCTGAGATCTGAGGATTGTGGTTCAAAGCCAGCCCAGGGCAGAAAAAAAATATCCTGGATTTTTTTTTTTTTTTGCTAGTCCTGGGGCTGGCACTCAGGGCCTGGGCACTGTCCCTGAGCTTCTTTTGCTCAAGATTAACACTCTACCACTTCTGGGTATGTGGTACTGAGGAATCAAACCCAGGGCTTCATGCATGCTAGGCAAGCACTTTACGACTCAGCCATATTCTCAGCCCCTGGAAACTCTTATCTCCAATGAACCAGCCAAAAAAACCCAAAGTGGACCTGTGGCTCAAGGGGCAAGGTACCAGCCTTGAGTGGAAAAAGCTAAGGGATGGTGCCAGGCCCTGAGTTCGAGCCCTCTCCAGCTGGTCCGATCAGCCTAGGGAAGAAGACCCCAAGAGCCCACTGCAGGGGTTTCTGAGACCCTGCCTGCCAGCTGATCTGTCGGATGGTTTTCCTGTCATCTCCTAAGTGGTCTCTCTCCCCTCTGTCTCTGTCTGTCTCTTTCTCTCTCTGTCTCTGTCTCTATCCTGGCCAAGTCCCAATCTTCTCTCTGCTCTGTCCATAGGATTAGGAAGCATCTGGAATGGGTGGAGGTTCTGAGCTTTTAGGACCCCCAAATCTACCCAACCCTGCATGACAACTGAATTGTGACTCTATCATCCATTCTGAGCCCTGTTCCGGTGCCTTGGCCCCTCTATTCTCCCCACAATCTCATCCTCACTGGACCCAATGATGTGTATGTTAGGGGGGTTGGGGAGCTGAAGACCAGAGACACAATGCTACTCACACAAAACCACACAGCAAAGAGCGGCACAAGACGCAAATGTAAACTGTTTCACTCTAGAATGGCCGTCCTCCACCCCAAGCAGTGACCACCATGTCCACGCCGCTCCCCATCTGCCACCCCACCACCTCCATCCCAAGTCCAACTGGGGGAAACTGAGGCAAGGTGCCAGCAAGGTCACACAGGGTTAGCAGAGAGGCAAGCCACACATAGAGACAATTTGGTTAATAGTTAATTAGGTGGAGGAGACTTCAGATGGGGGGTGGGGATGAGGGTAGGAGGGGTATCTGGAGAATGGGAAGGGGGGAACCCATGCGAGTGGAGGGGCTGAGGACAGACAGAACACAGGGGAAGGGTGTCAAAGTCGAGCCAAGGTTGGGGTTCAGAGACAAGTAGGGGACACTCACCCTCCTTCTCCGCCATGTCCCGGACTTTCATTAATGATTCCCGGGCTGGCCTCCTGGGCCGGGGCGGGCCCTGTGGGGAGATGAACAGGGACAGGGGAGACAGGCCTGGGGGAGACTGGCCCCCCCCCAATTCTAGGCATCCATCTGGGTTCTAGTCAGGTCAGGCCTTGGTCATGGCCACAGCTTGGAGGCAGGTTTCAAAGATGGGGTCCAAGCAGAGGCTGGGGTGACAGTGAAGATTTTTTTTAGGGCTCAGGACCTCTCCCAAAGCTAAGCCTGGGGAGGAGGAAGGGGGGGACTGAAGATCTGAACTCCTGGATTCGACTGCGGGGTTTGAGGGGGGCGGCTGCTCTCCTGGCGTGAGAGCCAGCAGCTGGAGGTCCAGGGCCCAGGGACACAAGCCACGTCTTAGGGGGGGGTGTGTGGGGGGAACGACAGATGGTGGGAGCCCCTTGTGTGAGGAGTGAGGCTCAGGTGGGCTCGACAAGGGGGTGTGGACGAGTCTCCCTGAGTCTGGGGAGTAAGGGGGGGGAGGGGGGCTCTGGGCCTTACCCTGGGGTCCACCGGAGACAGTGCGGATTTGAGATTAGTCTCCAGGCCTGGGCAGGAACATGGTGCTGGCCCCCACAAGAAGTGTGAGGGGGGGCCTGCAGGGCGATGGCGAAGGCGGCGGGCGACAGGCAGGGGCGGCAGGGGCGGCGGGGGCAGCGGGGCTGGGCTCGGCCTGCTAGGCCCGGGCGGCCTCACCTGAGGAGGAGGGGCGGGGGAAGGGGCGGGGAGGGGCTGGCCCGCGGGATTGGTGACCGCAGAGGCCACCTGGCATTGGGGGCCGGGCTTATTAGAACAAAAAAAAAAAATAAAAAAAAGAGGGGTGGTGGTGGTGGGAGGAGGCTGGACCTGCAGGCTGCGGCCTCAGGCTTGCAGAGGGGTTCAGGTAGGCCTGAGAACAGGCTGGGGTGAGGGTGTTTTTTTTTTTTCCCCCAAAGCTGGAAGAATCTGAGTAGAAGGTTCTAGAAGCATGTGCTCCCTTACCCTCTCCCCGCCCACTGCTCCTGTAACCAGCCCTAGCCCCCTTGGCCTATGAATTCCCAATCACCTCCTGGGTCACCCCCCCCCCCCCCCGTCCCTAGCCCCGCCCCTCCCCCAACCCCTTTCCTAAAAGTCACGGGGCTGACCTGGTCAGCTGGCTGCAATGACCTCTGAGGCCCAGAAAGTCCTCCACTGGGGGAAGGGAGGGAGGAGGGAGGACTTGGCCCGGAAAAGGTGACACAGAGTGCTAAGGGCCAGGCCAAGTGGCCGGAAGGGACTAGAGGCAGATGGCAGCACGCTGTCCAGCCAGCAGGCCAAGAGCCGTCCACCGCTGACCCCGCACCACACAAACACAGCAGGCAGGCGGGGCCTCGGGCCGCAGCCTCCTCCCCAAGCTGGCTGACCCCAGAGCGATGCACCGCTGGGCCTGGACCAAGCTCTGATCACCCCCCTCTAGTGCTCAGCCTGGCTGAGGGCTTTCTATGTGTGTGTGGGGGGGGGGGGGGGTACTAGGACTTGACCTTAGGGCCTAGGCACTGTCTCTTAGCAGTTTGACTCCAAGATGGCTCTCTACCACTTGAACCACAGTTCCACTTCTGTTTTTTTGGTGATACACTGGAGTCTCACAGACTTTTCTACCCAGTCTGGCCTTGAACTGATCCTCAGAGTTCAACCTCCCAAGTGGCCGGGATTACAGGTGTGAACCACCGCACCTAGCAACCCCAGGCCTGAATGTCTCTTTCTCTTTTTCCTGTCTTCTCTCTTCTCCTCCCTCTCCTTCCTTCTCCCTTCCCTCTTTCCTCTGGAGACCCTCACGGAACTACTGTACCCCATCAACTGTGTTGCCCTCCATGGTATCCCCAGGTTTCAGAGCCAACTCTGGGATCCCCCACTGTACCCCAAATGGGTGATGCCTGGCTCACACCTGTCATCTAGCTACTTAGGAGGCTGAGACCTGAGGATCACAGTTCAAAACCAGCCTAGGCAGGCGTCTCCCTCATCTCCAATCAATCAACCAAAAGCCAGAGGTGGAGCTGTGGCTCAAGTGGTAGAGCAGCAGCCTTGAGCACAAAAAGCTCAAGGACAGCGTCTAGGCCCTGAGTTCAAGCCCTAGTTCTTGCACACACAAAAAAAATAAAGCTGAGATTTTACGGTTTGGGGCTAAACATAGGATGAGAACAGAAGGGGGAGGGAAGGAGGAAGAGGAGGAGGAGGAGGAGGAGAGAGGCAAATCAAGTCCAAGAATCTTTATTTCCAGAACAAAACTACTTCTGTAAAGAGAGATGAGGCCCTCAGCGGGCTCAGACCAGGGCTGGTGAGAGGGAGGATGGGGGGGGGGCACCGAGGCGGGAATGCATTACAGGAAGGGGGACCCCAGGTCCAGCCGGAGGAAGCAAGGAGAAGATGATGATGCTAGGGGGTCCAAGGATTGGGAGGGAGGGAGGAGAAGGCCCAGAACCTTCTGTCCCCACAGTCCTGGCCCATGCCAACCCCCTTGCTGGGCAGGGCCAGGGAGCAGGGATAAGAAAGGGCTGGCCCAGCAGTGTGTGTCTGGAGCGGCCAATGTGTGCAAATTAGCAAAAAGAGGGGTGCGGAGCCATTGGCCCCCACACACACTGCCTCACCGCCCTTCCCCTCCCACAGGCAGCAGAAGCAGGGGCTGGGGGACATGGCCAGTATTGCTTTACCCATCATGCACAGCGGCAGGGGGTGGCGGGCAGGAGGGCCACAGGGCAGGAGGAAGGCTGGGTGAGGGGCCCTTGCCCTCCCACCCTGGAGGCTCCTTGGCAGATTTCTGAGGCTCATGGAGGCCCAGGGGCAGCCAACCCCCCCTCCGTTGTGTATGTGGGGGGAGGCTGTACCCCAATGTTGGCATTAGGGCTGGCTCTTCCTTGAGGTGGCAGCCCAGGGCCTAAAGGGAAAGGGAGAGATGAGGGGGAATCAGAGGACCGACGCCCCTTCTCAGATGCCCCCACCACCCTCCCCCTGTGCCCACCGGACTCACCTGGGCTACTGAGCAACCTGAACGACCGTACAGTTCTCTTTGCTCTCCGAAGTGATGGCTAAGTATTCCGAGCTGGGAGAAAGAAAAACAAAAAAGACCAAAATGACAGCTCATCATAATCCAGGCTTGGAAAATGGGGAAGGTTGTTGGGGGTGGCGGTGAGGAGGTGTCTCTCCCTGAGGAACCCTGAATCCTAGCTACTCAGGAGGCTGAGATCTGAAGATCACAGTTCAAAACCCAGCCCGGGGGCAGGAAAGTCCAGGAGACTCTAATCTCCAAGGAAGTGCAGCTGTGGCTCCAAGTGGTAGAGGACCAGTCTTCAAGGACTATACCCAGTCCTTGAGTTCAAGTCCTGAGCCTGGCACAAAACAAACAAACAAATAAATAAAGGGGAGGGAATGCTGAGAGCAGCGGCAGTGGCCCTGGGCGCCGCACTCAACCTCTCTTTCTGGGCCTCTCCCCCTCCTCAGTTGTAGCCAATACATCTCTGGTATGCAGGTGGCTTCCTGCCCCCACACCCCCTGCCCAGGTGGTGTGAGGGTGCTGGTGGCCTCAGCCCTGCCTGACTCACGCGTTCTCCTGGGCCGCAGCCTCCGTGGCAGCTGCGATCTTCTTGTAGCAGTACACCATCTCGGCCACCAGCCAGATGGTCAGAACCACGATGAGTACATACATCATGATCTCAGACACAATGGACGCCATGTCTCTGTTGGCTGGGGGGACAGAGGAGGGAGAGAGGCCCACATTCAAGGACACACCACAGACAGACCCATGCACACTGTGCATGGACCAGCCGCTTGACCTCTCTGGGCCTAGCAAGCACTTTAAATCCTCCTGCTGATTGCCCTATTGCCATGGTGACTGGGATGCTTGACAACCAGCCCCCAGTGGCCTGGGAGTGGGGGTGTGACCTCAATACATCTCTCTCTGTAACTTCAGGAAGTATCTGTGACTTCCAGGGGGCAGTACAAAGGCTCAGGTTCAAATCCTGAGTCTGCTACTTGCCAGCTGTGTGATGTTGGGCAGGTGACACCACCTCTCTGCACTTGTTTTTCCACTCTCAAAAAAAAAAAAAAATAAATAAATGGGGCTGGGAAGCTGGCTCAGTGGTAGAACGCTTGCCTTGCATGCATGAGGCCCTGGGATCGATTCCTCAGCACCACATAAGCAGAGAAAAAAAAAAGCCGGAAGTGGCGCTGTGGCTCAAGTTGTAGAATACTAGCCTTGAGCTGAAGAGCTGAGCGACAGTGCCCAGGCCCAAAGTTCAGGCCCCACGACCAGACCCAAAAAATTAAAAAAAAAAATGCTCATGCCTGTAATCCTAGCTACTCAGGAGGCTGAGATCTGAGGATCAGAGTTCAAAGCCAGCCAGCCCAGGTAGGAAAGTCCAGGAGATTCTTTTTTTTTTTTTTTTTTGTCGGTCGTGGGGCTTGAACTCTGGGCCTGGGTGCTGTCCCTCAGCTCTTCAGCTCAAGGTGAGCGCTCTACCACTTGAGCTACAGCGCCACTTCCGGTTTTCTGGTGGTTTATTGGAGATAGGAGTCTCACGGTCTCTCCTGCCTGGGCTGGCTTTGAACCGCGATCCTCAGATCTCAGCCTCCTGAGTAGCTAGGATTACAGGCGTGAGCCACCAGCACCCGGCTCCAGGAGACTCTTATGTCCAATAAACCACTAGAGAACCGGAAATGGAGCTGTGGCTTGATCAAGCGGTAGAGCACTCACCTTGAGCTGAAAAGCTGAGGGACAGCGCCCAGGCCCAGAGTTCAAGTCCCACAATGGACAAAAAAAAAAAAAATGTGCATAACTACAATAGATTCTCATTGAAGTGTGTGAGAATCCTCAGAATAAGCGGACACTGGTGGCTCACGCCTGTCATCCCAGCTACTCAGGAGGCTAAGATCTGAGCATCACAGTTCAAAACCAGCCTAGGCAGGAAAGCCCATGAAAAAGCTCAGGGACAGTGCCCAGGCCTTGAGTTCAAACCTCAGGATTAGCACCAAAAATAAAAACAGGGAAGGGGAGGGAGAGCAGAAGCCCCTCCCCCAGGAGCAAGTGGCAGTCTGGGTGAGGGGCAGGCCAGGAGGCTGGCAGGAAAGCGCAGGTGCCCGGATGCTGGCTATGCGGGCTGCTGGCCCAAGGGACTCGTCTGCCAGGACTCTTCACTGGCGTGGAGCCTGGAAATGGTTCTCTGAGTCTCTGCGCCAATGGGCCCTGGAAAATTCCAGTGTATGCCAGTCAGAAGCTGGGCTCCAGTGGCTCACTCCTGTAATCCCAGCAATTTAGGAAGTTCAGATGTGAGGACCCCGGTTCAAAGCTAGCTGAGGCAGGAAAGTTGGTAAGACTCATCTCTAATGGACCAACGAAGAACTGGAAGTAGAGCTGTGGCTCAAGTTCAAGACCAAGACCAGCACACACACACACAAATAAAAATAGGGGGGCTGGGAAGGTGGCTCAGTGGTAGAGCGCTTGCCTTGCATGCATGAGGCCCTGGGTTCGATTCCTCAGCACCACATAAGCAGAAAAAGCAGGAAGTGGTGCTGTGACTCAAGTGGTAGAGCACTAGCCTTGAGCTGAAGAGCTGAGGGACAGCGCCCAGGCCCAGAGTTCAGGCACCATGACTGGCAAAAAAATAAATAAATAAATAAAAATAAAAATAGGCCAGGAAAAGGGATCTTGAACAGC